AAAATCAGCATCGATCTTTGTCGAAAGGACACCGTAAAAAGAACCGACAGAAATTTCACGGTGGTGTTGATTTCAACTGATCCCCATTGCGAGAATTGGTGGATTCGAGACAATCAGTAGTTCAAGCTTGTCAATTCATACCGTCAATTTACAGCTGTCTTTTCTTTTTTATCAAGAAAAGTGTTGTTACAAAAGAGATTTCACGTTTTTGTTATAAACAGAGGCGGAAAGGTTGCCGGCGATTTTATCATTCATGAAACATGTTCTATAATTCTCCGTTCTCCCTCGCCTTCGTTTCAGTTCAAAAGAATAATCCGAACCCAATGAATCGTCGATTAAGGCTAATGGAAAATTACCATTTAATCTATCAAAGAGGGTGGAGGAACGGAGAAGTGACAATTTCTTCCATTCGCCAGAAAATTTATTAAGGTGCCTGCAGGGAACTCAATTAATGTGATTAGTGTTGTTGGATCTCCTGTGGTCTCGCAGGTAATTTGTGGAGTTTGGAGGGGGCCTTTTTTTTCTTCCTTTTTTCCTTCCAAAAGGACACCTAAGTAAATCACCGTGAAGAGAAAGGACCAGGACTCGACTGAGGGGCCACTTTTCATCCAGTCCGCCCGCCGCTTCTTGACCGTAGGTACAAAAGGTGGTCCACCGTACTCTTCAGTAAACATTAATTACCATCCGGTGGTCGGAAAAGATTCGCCGAGGGGAATTTTTTCCCCTACTTTTTGTCTCATTGTTATTCGCCGGGCCGAGAGGGAGCGACCAGGGGCTCTGCCACAATAACACGGGCCCTTGCACAGTGTCAACAATACAAGCTCCCAATAGGGAATTCTTACTACTACGAGCCTTCCCCTTTTAGCACACCGCGGAGAAAACTCAATTTATAACCGCCCAGTTATAAAATTCCCAGATGTAATCCTAAGCTTTTATACTCTCACCCTATTCGATTTACAAAAAAGCTAAACAGACTGCAACCTGCATTCGTTAGGGAAATAAATATTTTCCTTTTTCTTGCTTTAAACTATTATTCGGTTTCATACGAAAAGCGATACATATTCCTAAAATGGCAGGAATATTCACCAGAGAACCTGCAAACAATTTTATAACGTTCAGATGTCTCCTTGAGGTTTGAAAGTTGATGCACCTGTAGTTTGGTCGTTTCTTATCTTCTTCACTGTGTACCTAACTTCACTCGTTTGGTCTGTCAGAGACAACTGCTTACAGCTTACATATAACTGAGGCTTTAAGAATGATTTACGAGTGGTCTATTGCAAAAAAAAGCAACTAACATTTAACATGAAAAAATGTCAAATACTACATATAAGTCGTAAAAGAGAGCGTGAAACTCCTCACATCTATATGGGGGCTGAAAAATTGGCGATCACAGACAAAATAAAATATATTGGAGTTGTTTTCCCTAATAAATTTAAATGGAACGATCACATTATGTTAATACTAAGGATGTTATGAAATAATTTTGCATTTTTGCTTTTATACAGCAGATTAAATATACGATCATGAACTACAGCACACATATAAATAAAGGGAATTTTTGTACAACCAAAAGAAGCGAAGAAAAAAAGTCATTAAACCTTACGAATCTTTACTTATCCTTTTATGTGACGACAAAGTTTCAGTAAACAAAACGTTGAACTCTGGGGGTCGCCTAATGGTTTGAGCTTTTAATTAAAAGCATCAACTTTTTAAAGATTCTACTCTAAAATACTAAAACGGTATAAACCGTGTCTTTCAACCTGCTGGGAATAAAATGTGGTAAGGGCAGAAAGTACTGCGTTAAAAAGTGTTAAATTCTTATTTCAATTGAAACATTTAGCTATGTGTACTACTACATGTAGATAAACTTTTATTTTTATTTTGGTTTAATTTTTAAACATACTTGTCGTATTATACATACAAACCTATAATGTTTTTGCACTTTATGTAAGTTACATAAATAAAAACATTGGAAAATAAAAGTCTTTTATTTTTTGTTGACAGTTGGCTTCAGGTAAAATATGGATAATATACCCTGAAGAAGGCAAATGCTGAATCAAGTCTAATAGAGATACCTAGCGATCGTGCCTCGACTTCAACAGGAAATCGCACAAATTAACACAACTAGCCAGGGCAAAAAAAAACTTAAATATTTCTACAGACCCTACCCACAGGCGAGAATAGGCGGACCATGAAGAAATAGACGCAACCAGTTCGGTAGGATTATCATTGCTCAGACAGCAACAAGAACCCCCTCTATTTAACACGGACCAGCAAGGACGAAACGTACCACAAACGATGGAAAAATGGTGGAACCCTTCTGACAAACAAAATTCTAAGGATAGGTGGACCATGAAGATCGGAAATGACCAAACAAAAACTCCATTACCATTTGATTTAACTAATCCAGGCGTTCATTGTCCCATGGACTTTTACTAGAAATCTGACTTCATTGATTAATCCTTTGTTGTTTCCCGCATTATTTATTTTTTAAGCGCTTGTGTCCAGTTTCAGGAAATTGCGTTATACTTCCAAAAGGTTTTGTCCCACTGAGCCGTACTTTTTTTTTGTTCATACCAGTTTGCATTGACCGGACCAGATGGTAATCTATCGTTATTTCCGGCCAATTCACTGGGTGAGTGCGACCAAATACAGGGTACCAGCATGTTCCCAACAATTTTATAAATATAAAATGACTTTATCTCCATTAAAATTTCTATCCGTTTTCCTTTGGTAAAGATTCCCTAGCAAACATCATAAAATATGCGTGAAATTCCCCTTCGAAATGATCAATTTGACTCTCCATTGTCCCTGGGGAAATGTATTGTTACAAAGATTCAACTCTTTTTTTTATGCATTAAATATGAAAGAGTCCCTAGATGTTTTTATCTTATTTCCTCATTTATGTAATACTATATCATTGAATGCATACTACATTGTAAAAAAACCATATCACATATTTCACGGATATGGCGAAATGGAATTTATCTTCATTTCGCCTCCAACAAGGTTTTTAAACATTTTTTTCAGCATTTAAGCGTTGAAGCGAATCCGGAACGAGATCTTTATTGTGTTGGGGATATATGACCGAAAAAGTGAAGATCCCGAGCAAAAGGCAATAAAATCCAAAGGAGATATGTTGTTACACATTTTCTCCCTTCGCCTTCCAGTCGATTACAAAACGCATGGAAGGAAATAGATTTACACGGTTGAATAGTGAAATACCAATAGAGGAAACCCGGTGCTGCTCAAGGAAATTCGATTGCCAGCCGCCAATTGAACACCGCTATTGTCGATTAATTGCTTTGGGTAATTTACCCATTGAAAACGACTGTCCTATTCTTCCACCATCCACTAGCACCTATAAACCGTTTGGTAAATCGATTCGCATTTCGTTTGATTTAAGAACAAGCGGCCCGACTCGGGTTTTTTTAGTTGTTCCAAGTATTTATTTATTGCCTTCCATCCACATGTGAATTACTTCGGCGCTTTTAAACAAACCCATTGGTTATGCTGAAATGCCTTTTTGTTTTGTTCTTTTGGGCCTCACAAAACCTTACACTGCTTTATAACTAGAAACGTTTAAAAAACTATAAAACAGGCTCACAACCTCTCGGACCACATTGAGAATTCTCCAAATTAAAAATTGCTCATCACCTTCAAGCCGCACTATAAACCAAAGACTATATATATATGTTGATTGGGATTCGGGTTGTGGTCCGAACGGGTGCGGCAACATAAGTATGATTGCAATGATGAAGAAAGGCCGGGAACAGCACTATCCAAACATACACACGCTACGAAACATAATTTTGACTTCGATGGAGTCAAAATTGTGGCTTCTGAACAAAATACAGGTAGTAGACTTTTGAGGGAAATGATATCTATTCATCAGGACAACATGGCCTGTAATTTAAAAACAGATCTGAATAATTTAAGTGTGATGTACAGTGGGATCCTAGAAAAAGATAAGGTCTCTCCCAAAAGATCGTAACAATACTTGCGTACATATTTATTTATTTATCTATTATTTATATATTATAACAGGCTGTGATAACATAGAATTACCAATGTATTAAAAAAAAAACACCAGATAACGTGATAAACACAATTTTCTAGTCAAAACGCCTGTGATATTTATGTACCAAAAGAATATTATTTATTAAGTAATTGTTACTGGTTTTTAAAAAATGCCTATATATGTAAGAGGCTGTTAAGAAGAGGTTTTTATTTATTTATTATATATGTATATAGTTTGTTTGTATACATATCGTGGAATGTGCAATGTGTTTACGATTTGACTTTGTATCTGTATATAACAAAAACTGATATTTTATAACTATTTATACAATTTATAACTGTCTAAATGATTATGTCCCTATGTCTCTGTAGATCCCCTGAAGAAGGCAATAAAACTTGTCGAAAGCTAAAAAAAAAAGGTTCTTTGAAATCTTTGTTGTGTTGAAGGTGACTGAAAGTTACCTGTCGAAAGCTAAAAAAAAAAAAAAAAAAGACCACAACCCGAATCCCAACATCGTATGAAAGCTGGTTGATCGCACAACAAACATATATATATCAACGATATACCATGAATGACACACATAAGTGTTCTAACATAGATGTTTGAACGACCTTGTTAAGATCCTGAAGAGCGTAAGGCCGTGAACTTTAGTTTGGTAGTCAATCTTGGTTTCTATAACTTTTTTTAAATACATAATAGGTCACTGTTAATGGGCAACATTCATAAATTAAAAAACTTAAATTAAAAGTACTTTTAATCTAAGGTCTTGGTTGAGATGAAAAAGCAAGTGTAACAAGCGGGATTCGAACCTACGACCTCCATCTCAACAAGCCACTGCAGAAAACAAGCCAAAGGACATGGGGTCGAATCCAACTCATGACACTTGCTTTTACAACTCAACCAAGATCTTAGATTAAAAGTATAAATAATTAATAGGGTCAATTATGACTAATAAATTCATATATGGATTCAAGTAAAAGAATGAAGAGCACGCATGCTCTATTGTCACAAGTGTTCTTTTTATCGTCCTGAATTATTTGCTCCGTTGAACGAGTGTGTGTTTGTTTGTGTGCGTGTGTGTTGTAGAAGAAGAATACTTTATATACACAAATAATTACGTTAATTTTTTAAAGTAAAATTATAGAGTGAAAGAAGGAAGCACTAGTGTAATATCAAATACCCCAGTGGGTCCCCAAATTTTATCTGTACATATTGTATGAATGTGTTTATTAGCGTGAATGATGGTGGGTCCACAGCAGAATATTCAGTACTCCGAGACACGCCAAACTTTGGTAAGACCATAATACATATATGTATGCACATATTTGTTTGTATTTGTCAACTCGCCAGACGAACTTATATGTTCATGTTAACTTTTGTACAAAAGATACCATTTGTTATTGTTATTATTATTATGAAAGAATGACCAGGATCTGAACAATCATTGTTACAGAAAGCAATATAACTTAGTTGTCTGAGATACCCTGTTAACATCACTCCATGAACTTATAGTTGGTGGTTTCCAATCATTCTAGTTTGAATATCTTCCCTGGAAACAATTTATAAATAATTATATAATAGTTCGCCTAGTTCGCCACAGGCATAGCTTGAAAATAATTAGCAGCACTTGCGGTGTATAAAGTCATTTGGCAACTAAACGTTCTAATTTAGTTATTTCAAGTGCCCTGATAAAATTACTGCATCTGGAATTTGGTTGGTTCGTTTTGTGCTCTATACAATCATTGCCACAACAAACGTTATGATTTAATTATTTGCATACCCAACACGATCCTGAAGAGCATAACTCTATGACCTGATAACAAAATCTTGATTATTTGTTTTGCGAACAACAAAGTTATACGATCGGCCTTTTCTTCTTACCCGTTCTAGTTAAAACAAGAGTCAAACAAAAACTTATTTCGATTTGTCAAAGTCCAATTTTCACAATAATGAAGAGCAAGAACTAATTTATTTTAAATTATTCAACTTCCCCGGCTACTTGTTGAGTTCTGAGAAAATAGTGTTTGTTTGTATCAGTGGCTATGGAGTGAGCTATCGATTGTACGAAGTTGCTACATTAACTAAGACACGTAATCATCACGGCATTTCATCCGAAGTGCTTTCATCAAAGCTAAAATAAAGAATATTATTATTTATTGAGTGTTAAATTATTATTTATAAATTGTCTTTGTTATAGAATTCATATGGTGCGGTAGGGCTATCTCGTTTTCGTGTAAACGTCGTTATTCAGTTCTGTAAATAACGATAAATGTGCAATCAAGACGTTTATTGACGATTTATAATTTCTCATATTCTCCAAACTCTAAAAGTGTTTATTTTTATGTATTATTTAACGGTTTCCAGGCAAATATGCCAAAATTTGTATAGAATTAAGATGTTTTTTATTTTTTAATAAAAATAAAGTCATTTTCTGAACTTTCCAAGAGATAAACTTGAAAGTCAATGTTTTAGCCTTCCTAAAGTTATTTTTCCATTGTTTTGATAAAACGAAGACGAGACAATCTTGATTATTTGCCGCCACATAATTCATTTAGGCTTCGTTTCATCTTGAGCCCTCGGAGGGGGAATGTGGTTTTATCTGCCCTCCACATCATAAATTTCTTTATCTTACGTCTATCACTATTCCCCGCGATAAGCGCGAAGCAGCTCGAAATTCAACGTGAAGATTTAAAAAACGGTGTATCAACTTTATAATTTGCCCTCGAAATATTCATCTTCAAACTATTTTCTATTGTTCGAAAGTGTCAAAAGTGCACTGACAATCCGACTGCCGACTGTTTAATTCAGAACGTTCCTTAAAGACTAATCTATATTCAGCTGTCAGATTTCGAGAGATGTATTGCTAATGTATTCATGAAACTCCAACTGATCCATTAAGATCTAGAAAAGGTAGAGTTACCTTTGGCCAAAGCTTGAGAAATATAAATATCCTAAACAATTAAACATAAAGAAAGTTGTAAAACAGCCGAAAACCTATTACTTATTTTTATCTAAATTACCACAATTGATTATCTATCATCAATGTAAGTAACATCGGTGTAAATTAAGCACCACTGACATAAACATAATGTTCTTCAAAGAAAAGGAAATAAAGGACAAAAAAGAACAATAATATCACGTTTCGCAGAAATCAACGCAGAATTTTGTTATAGCTCATCAAAAGAATTCAAGGGTTAAACCAAAAAGAAACATTTCATATTTTCAAAAATGTAACAAATTAATCATTAAAATATAGTATCACAACTCTTCCATTAAGATCTAGAAAATGAAAAGGTACCTTTAGCTTGAGAAATATAAATATCCACTACAATTAAACATAAAGAAAATCATAAAACAGCTTAAAACTTATCACTTATCCATTTATTTTTAGTGGTCTAATTGATCAAATTACTTCTTTCAATTAATTATTCTTTTTTAGACGAAAAAGCTAGTGTCACAAACGGGATTCGAACCCACGACCTTCGGCTCAATACGCTGGCCCTCTAACCACTTGAACCATCGTGACTATAGCTCAAGTGATTAGAGGAGCGGCGTATTGGGTCGTGGGTTCGAATCCCGCTCTTGACACTACCTTTTTCATCTCAACCAAGACAATAAATAAAAAAAGTATACTTGTCAAATATTTATAAACAAATAACACCTAATTAATTAAATAACATCGGAAAAAAACAAAAAAATTTAACGGGAATATTAACTAAAGCATCAAAAACTATTTCAGTTTTAATACTACGCATAGATAGCTGAAAGTTTTGTTTGTAATGATATTAACATTAGTAATAATAATAATTAAAAAATTAAACAATTTAAATTCTCGTCAAACATTCATACATGAATACTATTATCGGTTATTTTTCACAGTTGTTTTTAATGAGTAGGTAGAATCGCTATAAATTAAGAACCATTGACATAAATAATAACTTTCTTTGAATAAAATAAAATAAAGGAAAATATCAAAATAGAACAATAATATCACGTTTCGCAGAAATCAACTCACAATTTCTTTTTTAAACTCAACAACTTCAAGGGTTAAATTAACAATAAATATTTTAATTTTTTAATGTACTAATTAATCATTATAATATGAAATTTTTTAATTATATTAAAATTATATTTATAGAAATAAATTAACATAAAAACAACCACACCTAAAAATCTTATTTTAAGCTCATTTAGACGAGATTATCAGATAGTAAAAATGAGTAGTAACAATAGACGTTCATTGTTTTATTTGTTCTTACAACAAACGAGGAGAGGACATCTATAGCCATGAGATCACCGATTTCAATTAAAGTTTTTGTTTGTGATGCTAGATCGAAAATATTGGACACCTTCCGAGTGTTCTGGCCAATGAGCCCTTGGAGCCAAAAATAACAGTAAGTATTTTTTTAAATATGTTTTTCCTCCTTTGTTTTCCAGGTATACCAAGGTTATTTGATATCAGTCGGAGTGATTCAGATCCACACGCAAAGCTACTTACAAACATCGTAAGTTTACTCAGTGAAATTACGATAGGTACATCATCCATGTCTTTCTTCATTTACAGTAATGATTCCGGAGATGATTCGAGTGATGAAGCTGTCACTACAAAAGAAGAGAAGATTTTGCGTTCATGCATTTTTCCAACTTCAAGCCAGGGTTTTTCAGTGTCGACTTTCTTCCATTATCCAAGAAGCCTAAAGTTGTATAAAACAAGATGTTTTTCACCTTTTCTCTTCAAAATAATATGTTCATCTGTTGATAGTTCATCAACCCCGTCATCAAACATCACCCGAAATTGGGCAACTTCAATCTCCAGCGAATCGGCAGCCGAGTTGCCAGGAACTGGAAATTTTTTCTTGAAAAATAATTTATTTTAAACTATGTACTTTGATACGTCGCTCGGTCACAACGTCAAAATTGTATTTTGAAGTTAGCCATAGCGACATTGTAGATATTGAAATAAATAATTTGCAACTGAACACCTGCAACAAAACGTTTATAGAGATAAATTTATATATTAGTTCCATTATATTTCGTGGTCTGATTGACCAATCATTAATCTTTTTATGTAAGATATTGGTTGAAATGAAAAATCCCGCTCGTGGCACTAACTTTTTCATTTCAACCAATACCTTACATAAAAAGATTATATATTAGTGCATTAGTGTTGAAACGTTTACGTTCTGCAGTAATAACATTTTTTTATCGTGTAAAAGCCCGGTAGTTTGCGTACATCCGCGTTTACCTACAAACCTGCATACATATTATTAAAACACCCATTATCACCCCTCCCCCCAACCACCCCTTTGACTACTGACACCGCCTGAACAAAAACATCCCTCATCTACTAAAATGTGCACAAGACAAGTACAATAAATGTAATTAATCACGGTTTATAATTAAGGGAGAAAAAACTTTAGAATTTTCAATAAATATTTCACAAGACTGCACAAACGGCAGTTCAATTCATTTGTATTCAGAGCCACAATTAACATGCTTCAAGCGGCATGTTATGAATGAAAATAAGAAGGTTTATAACAAGTTTTGTTGATTAAGGTTTTTTTTTGTACACGATGAACTCGAAGTTTGCCGACTCTCTCCTATTTTGTTTCTTCTTATCCCTTCTTTCAACCTCAGACTGTAATTCCTTTTACCTTTTAACATACATCTCATAGAATAAATGAATACATAATTTTTATTTTCAATATTGGCATTAAAATGTTAAATTGCAAACATGGTTTTTTAATAACACACCTTCAAAGAGTTGCACTTATTAAAAAAAATACTATTATTATTTTATTTTATTTTATTAATAATTATTAAATTACTTATTAATAAAAAAAATTTGTCTTTGATCCATTTCTTATCTAAAATCGTTGTACAATGATTATTTAAAAGAGGAAAAGCAAAAAAGAAAAATTATTATTTAAACAGTAAAAAACGTCTACAACCTCTTTTAAAGTTGTTGCTTAATAAACTTCCTTTAGTAGTAATGGATCATAAATGTAGTAGCTGACAGTTATGATTTAATTAAAAATTAGTAGATACTATCAACATTAAATAGGGAGTTTACAGACAAAAGTTTGTTAGAAGACATCCCACGTATTTTGTGCTTTTTTATACCTGAAGTTTCGTAAGGCTGCATGTAAAAAGGTCATTTCGTGTCAAGCCAACGTTACTCTGTCATAATTGAAATTATCAAAAAGGTTAATACTTTTTAAACATGCTTCAACGAGCTTAAACCATAGATATTGTTTGATTATGTAGATTTTAAACGATCCTGATAATTCTAATTAGACACAATGGACTATTAAAATTAAATTAAATGATAGTACAATAATATCTCTTCATGATTCCATAAATAGATAGAAGATTGCGAAAAATAGATCACCTTCGAACACATTAAATTTATCTATTGGTAAAAATTCAATTCATTTATGAATTTATTGCATATTAAAATCATATTATTTTATCCCCCCCGCTAAAATTTTAAATCAAAGTTTCCCATTAGTATCAATTAAAAAATAATAACACCAAGTGCGTTAATGAGGAAAATATCCTAAACGTAAAAATCTTCCCAACAATTTAAATTGCAATTAAGTTAAGAAGAGATCCAGTTGAATTTTGAACAATCGATTTTATAAAACAGAAACAGAATAAATTATACACGAGAAGACAAAAAAAACGGAAATCGGATGTATTTTGTTGTTTGTTGTATTAAGTACATCATACTCATTTTAATGTAAACCCAAATTAAAGGAGATCAGAAATTCATAAGTTATAAAACTTATTTAATAATGATGGTAAATATAATGGTGGAAGAAAATTCAACAAAACACCGGAAAATTATTTAGTGTTGGACTAAATTTAACCTATTTTTTGCCTAATTTGGCTCCTAATGCGTTATTAAGAGCAAAACCAGATAATAAATTGAAAGATAAATTTATTGTAACATTAAATAATTTTTTCATTGTTTCGTTGAATTTTCTTTCAAGCCATCATAATTAAATAATTTTTATTAAAACTGACAAATTTTGGATCTCGTTTAATGTGGCATTAAAATAAATATGTTGTAATTAATATAACGATCAAACTATATATAGTTTGAAATAAACTTAAAATACGAATGTTCGTATTTTTTGTTTTTGAGTAATTAATCTAGAAATAATCAACACGATTATTTGAACTTTACACAGTAACATTTGACGGTAAACAGTTTTAATTAGCATTCCACACGGAATACCAAGAAATTATTAAAATTATTATACTTGAAATATTTTTAGAAATTATATTTTCCCTTTTTGTAACAATTTTGTATAACACTTAGACGTAGTTTCCATTAGCCATAGTGTATATAGAAATAAGTAAACAATCTCGAGACGTACACTCCTGCAACTGCTGAGGACAACAAATTGGTGTTACTGGATTAACTTAAGAAACTGTTTATCTGAAACATATAAAATGCCTTCTGGAAAAGGACAAATATGTTTTGTTTTTGTTTTTTAATTGCCATGTTGCGATTCGAAACTGGATTTTTACCTCAGTTTTTGTCGTAATTTTGATAGTCGGTTTGTTTATTAGTGTCTAGTTTAATTATTATTTTTGTTTCAATTAACAAATAAAATATACTGTCATAGGTGAATTAATTTAAAGGAATAAAAACGCATTACAAGTCCAAGTACATTGTTAACCCTATTAAAACTATGAATTATTTTCAAGATGCTTGTATCAATTAATAATTAGCCAAGTTAGTTTTGAATATTGTCCCAAACTAAAAAAATCATTATAATCTCTTATTGACGTTGATGTTTCAATATGTTTTTTTTATATAAAATAAATTTAAACGAAATTGTTTATTAATTGTGTGTATTCTGTGCGTCACGAAATTGGTATAAACATTGTCATTTCAGTACTTCAAGCAAGGTAAGATTTATTAATTGTTAATTTATTTATTGTTAATCGTTAAGAATAGCGAAAAGTTCATAGATTTATTTTTGCATCGCAGAACGAATAGCAGGATATGCAATTGGGATTAAATTATAGATTTCCAATGAAGAAGAGTGTCAAATTAATACTCAGACGTAGCGTACATATTTATGAATGATTTGAAGTTAAAATATGAATGAATGGCTCGCATGCCGGCTCTTAGAAAGCAGGTAATCACGAATAAACTGTGATATTATCGAATTACGCGATAATTCCCGTAGTGCACACAACCTTTTGACAACACGTGGACCGGCCGTGTCATTTGGGCGAGATGATTTTCAGTTTATTTCTCGCCAATTTGAAATAGGACTTGGATATAAAATAACAATTTAAATTTCACATAAGTATTTAGGTAAAAATGGTGATCCTTACTGTTTGCGAGTGCTGCTGCTATAAGTAAGGCGGTGAGTAGAAACCTCGCGGTGTCCATACCGCCGGCATATCGTAGCAAAATCACATGTCACAAAAAAATACACCGCCCAGACAAAGACCGTAGCGAAGTTCGTAAGTCGGGGCTGGTCGGCACGGATGAAGTTACCAACAGCCCTGCTCGGACACAAGTGAAGGGTGTCTTTGGTAGGGGAAGCCGGATGGGGAAGGGGGTGCCATAGCAACCCTTCCCCCTTCCCGACAGCCCCCTCATTATCTACAACACTCTATCGACCCTTAGCTCCACACTGGCACAGGCCGACTGCAAAACATCTACTCGTTGGAAATCAGCCCCGGCGAATCTAAACTATAGTTTGGGTCGAAGGTCGGTTTATGATTTCAACGGAATTATCGGCCGGGGTGTGGCACCTTCCCACATGTCCGCCAAGCCAACTGGTTACTTTTGAAGGAGGAACGTCCGCGCCCTACCATCTCGCGGGACAATGGAAGGCTCCTCAAGTTTGCCAATTTCTACCTGCACTTACGATAATTTATAGCAGTATAAAGCACTAACGTGTTGAAAAAATAAATCTAAATTCTTGTGAGATATTTGGTGTTGGCATGTAACTTGTGATGAATGTACAGATTGGTCTTTTTATCATCCTCGTCTGCATATATATAGTTTGGTCTGTCAGACGTTTTGACATTTCGCCATCTTCAAATTTAGGTCTTTGTCCTGTCCGGTGGGTTAAATTGTAGGATTTATCCTTGATGTCTGCAATGAGATGGACCTTTTAAGTAGTCACATCTGATCTTCGTGGTAGGACTATCTTCGCTGTCTCCCCCCCAAATTTACAGTTATAAGGGTTTCTTCCTTTAGCCCTTAAACTTTCATCGATTGAGCCAATCTATGCAAATGGATTTCATGGAAAATTTTTGTTTCTTGTGGAGAATTCTTCTCAGTGGTATGGTATCAAGATCTGTATGGCTCAAGAGCAGTTCTCCTAGGTACCTTTTCCAAGCTATTGCTCCTATTTGAATTTGGCATGTTCTTTTGTCTTTGTCTCTTCTAGATATAATCAACATTGGTCATCTGTTAATATTCCCATTTGTTTAAGGTAGTATTTTACTGGAGATGTCCTATTGGAGATTTTAGTATTTTTTTGATTTCCTTCTGTTAAGTAAGATTTCCTCTTTAGCAGTTCTAGTATTTTTTGTATTCTTTAGTTACCCAAGCTTCCAGTTCTTTTTTAATGTGGCTATACTTTTGCCACAAAATTTAGGCCTATGAGTTGTTCAACCGCTCCTTTTTTACAAGTACTGCTGCCTCGTGACCTGTGATTCTCTCATGACCTGGGATCCGGTTTAGCTATTTGAAGATCCCAATTTTTTGTAAATATATGTACATATCAGGCAGTCCCAGAAAAGTTTTCAAATGATCTCGTAGGATTGGAGAGCCTTTAAAGCCGGTCTGTCGGAAAGATCCTTCCAGGTCATAAGATATTTTTCAATCTTCAAGGCGAGTTTATTCAAGGCTGGCTGTACTAAATTTTGACATTTTTTTGGAGGTCTGCAGGTTGCAAATAATACTAGTCCATCTATCCTAGCAAGTCTGGTCTAGCCTACCTACTAGAAGTATTTCACTTTTTTTCATCTCGTGGTGATATTTTGTCATTTATGTTCTGACTGAATGGGTTAATTTTGGAGATTTCTTCTTTCTAATGAGCCTATTGACTGGTCGTCTTGACCATCCTCGACCGCCGACCATCTCAAGTTTAGATCAGCCAGAAACGTTTTGGTACTTTTCAATCTTAAATGGTGAGTTTTTGACTGGCCGAGTTAAAATGCAAAATTTCTAGTTGACATATACGGAGTGATGAATCTGTAGTTTAGTCGTCTCCGATTATTATCCTTCTACGACTTTCTGACAGGTCAAATCTATAAAAGTGGTATTTCGCTAACTTCAGTCACTCAGGGTTCGATTTGTGTGGTATATTGGATTCTATAGACAATTAACTCGACTGAGAAAAATGTCGCACAAACCCACCAAATATGCAAAATGACTGACAGTCCAAAACAACGAGAATACAAAGTCCAGTTTTTAAGTGTATAAGGACCAGGACAACCAAAAACTTACACTTGCATTGATATTATAACGTTTCCTTGTATCCCCAGATGGTAATTGATTGCAAATTATCTTGTAAAATTTTTAATCTGTTTCATATATTGGCCAGTTATCATAATTTGAGAAGCATAAAATAACCATCTTTGTAAACAAATATAGAATAAGAGTTAATTGTACAATTCCATATCTTAATTAGCTATTTTTCATTTTATTACCAAAATAACTACAAATTCACTCAATTCAGCCTTCGCCAATTATAAACTGAAATTGATTTTAGGGTGTTTTCATACTTGTCGAGCAAAGCCATTTTTAATTGCATCATTAGGCGTCTTTTTACCCTCCTTGACAGCTCGCCCCACAGGTGTTTAGGTCGGGATTCCGGCAATTACGACAATTGAAAGAAAACACTTTTTCAAATACTGAAAAAACCTACAGTTTTCCATGTCTAAAATATTGAAAAGCAAAGAAATAACAACTGTTTTATACCACATATCTTCGAAGTACCTCGCATGAACCCTTCCGATGAAAATCCTTAAGCCAATCGGAAACCCTCAAACAAAAGTAGACTGTTTGGTAAACAGGATTTTATCCCAAATCTTATTCAGTCTGATTGAGGTGGTCTCTGTCGAGTGTTGCTTTGTCTGATGTAATGGAAGTCTGGGGCGTAGGACATCATTAGAACATCTTCTCCTTACAGGCAATATTTCAGACATTTTATTGCTTAAAATAGCAAACAAATCGTCATTTAGGTACATATATATCGTAAGATGACGAGAAACCAGGAAGCTTCTTTTGTACCCACTGGTATATAGACAACGATTGTTTTGAAATCGGCACTTTTCATTGAATAGCACTTACAAATCCATAATGACTAAAACGATTGAATTTCATCGGTCTGTCCTAATTCAAAGATTCACTATAAAGAAAAATTGAATCATAAGGTAGAGCTCATTTTATTTGAATCTTCGCTCAACCAATTAGTAACGATTTATAGCTTTATAATTCTCTGTTTCTCCACTTTGTGCATTCCCGAGTGTCGATCGTTTGTCCTGTCGGCTTTATCTCTTTTGATAGCCTTAAGATTGATAACATCTCATTTGAATATTGTAAAACCAGGATAAACATCTATATGAGATAAACTCGTTTCCCCAAGATTAGATAAGATCCATTAGATAATCCTTTCGACTCTCAAACTTATATTGAAAAAGTTATCACATCAAATGATCGTCGTGTAACACGCTATCATTACTCTCATTGATGCTGGTTTAAAACAAAAAATACTTTCCCTTAAAATTTACAGTTCGAAAATGAGGCAATATTAATTTCCTTTCTATTTATATTTAATTAAGCAATATCTTAACTAAAGCTACGAAGTAAAGGACGTACAAATCGTAAGATAAATTTAATTTATTCAAAGTTAATGCATTGAATTATTACTTTTAATTGAAATGAATATTTGAACGAGTACAATTGGCCCGTTCCCAAATATTCTCAATGAATTAAGTTATATGGAACCATGGCCAAGCAGAGTCCAACATATAGCAAACCTTGTTTAAGTAAGTTTACAAAAAACGACGGTTGACTGAGAGCCAGCATTTTGTCAAACTCAATCTGATTTATTTTGGGTAGTAAACCCTTTTTCCCAAAGCTCTCGCCGATAGGAATTCCCATCATCGAAGGGGAAAAAGTTAACTTCCGGTATTAATTCTCTCCCGATATTTACATGATAATAATAGGAAAGTTCGTAAGGGAAGAAAATATGTTGCAAAGTGTGCTAAAGTCATCATATAAGTTTTAACTTGCAAGATATATTTGTCAGGTCTATTTTCAGTTTATTATAATTTCTTTCATAATTGTTTCTTATTTTGGTAATATTTTGTCTTAAAGAGCAAAGAACATTAAAAAACAAAACAAATATTTTGAATCAATCTATTTCAAAATAAATATTTTTGTATTTGATTTAAACTATTGAAGACAGTCATCGAGCATAAAGCACAAAACATTTTAAGCCGCTTTGACAATTCCTCCGCCTTAGAAGATTTATTTTAGACGACTATGTAATTTTGATGTTTATCACAGTGGAATAACAGCCGGACCATCACTTTTTATATCTGGTGGCAGAAGTATGAAAACTCGTAAACTTTGGAATAGAGAGAGAAAAACGGGGAATACTGAAGAATACGGTCAAACCCTAACAGAATACAATAGGGAGATGAGTTGCAAAGAATTAACATCCCTGAAGCAAGTACTTTCCACAAAATTCTTGCCAAAGACCCATTGGAACTCTAAAAAATCAGATGGAAAACCTCACAAACCGGAAAGGAAACATTAGAAATGCTAATAAGTACACACTTTTCGAAATCAAAAATTATTACCAATCTGGACATAAGAAACAATTATGAACCCGTCAAAGGCTACAAAGTTAGCAGAGAAGATTGTCAAATAGCCAAAACAGAAATCACCTATGAAAAAATTGAATGGGCCATTGACAACTTCAGCCCCAGAACAGACGGGATATACCCAGTACTCCTACAAAAGGGAAAATAACACTAATCCCTCTAATTTTCAAAATATACAGAATATATAACAGATACAACCAAGCACATGGAGAACTGTAAAAGTTGTCTTTATTCCGAAGGTCGCACGAAAAACTACCCAGATGCAAAATCGTACAGGCCGATCAGTCTACCATCCTTTCTACTCAAAACGACGTAGGAGTCAAAGGACTAAAAAAACCATGTAAGGAACAGCTTTCTAAAAGAAAAACCCCTCCATAAATATTAACATGCCTAGTAAAAAGGAAAATCCTTTGAATCAGGCTACACCTTCTTGGATATTGAAGGACCATTTGATAACGCTCTTTTTGAAGCAATGGTTACACCATCTTTAGTGTTTGGCTAGGGTTACAAGCAGGGTGAGGCAAGACAAAGAACCTACCCTTCACGACCAAACAAAAAGTAATAAATTGTGAGAAAAACCCTCGCTTTTTCGTCTGTCAGACGCGTTTCGGCGTCTCGCCATCTTCAGTGTTCGACCAGGGTTGTAAGCAACAACAAAATCTACTCCTAATGAGCAAACCTCAAAGTAATAAATTGTGAAAGTTCTGTTACCTACGGAGTGATAAACCTGTAGTTTGGTCGTTTCCGCTCATTTTGGTCTGTCATACTCGTTTCGTCTACTCGGCATCTTCAGTGTTCGGCCTGGGTTATAAGCAAGGTGACGCAAGACAAAAACACCAATTGTAAGATAAACCTGTAGTTTCCTCATTTCCGATCATTTTGGACTTTTTTGGTCGTCTGTCCCGTTTCGGCTTCTCACTATCTTCAATGTTTGTACAGATTTATAAGCAGGGTGATGCAAGACAATAAAGCCCATCCCTGACGGCCAAACTACAGCTTTATCACTCCGCAGATTCCAGAAACATTTCACAATGTATTAGTTTGTAGTTTGGTAAACGAAGATGTCGAGAAGCCGCAGCTCGCCTGACAGACCAAACTACAAGTTCATCCCCCCGAATACTTAATGAACCGATCTCACCATCTATTATGTTTGTACCATGTTTTTCTCGTATATTTAAATGTATGAAAAAAATATAAGCAGCATAATATATATAATATTCAATTCCAGCATTATCACAGAGAGATAACGCTTGTATACAATTGGCGACAGTTCACGTTATCATATATCAGAGAAAACTGTTCATATCATAAGATCCTTCCTATATCATCCGATCAATAACATAATTAGGCTAATTAATAATAAGTTAATACACTTAAATGGTAATCCATTACATTTCGTGGTCTATTGACCAAATTACTTCTTTCAATTAATTACTCTGTTTATGTAAGGTTTTGGTTGAAATGAAAACGCTAGTGCCATGAGCGGGATTCGAACCCACAATCGGCTAAATACGCCGGTTCTTCGATCCGCTCGGATGGAAGTGGTAGAGCAGCGGCGTATTTAGCCGAAGGTCGTGGGTTCGAATCCCGCTCGTGGCACTAGCTTTTTCATTTTAACCAAAAACTTACATAAAAAGATTAATTAATTAAATTGTAATGTTTGAGAGGTGTGATAAGCTATAACGATAGCGGACCACGATTATCAAAGTCGATCAAGTTACTAACATATTTTATTTCTGTATTTGATCTTCCACTCTTTTAGTACTTTAGTGTGTAAGATTGAATAAATTATAAAAAGTGAACAGATTTTTTTTTAAATGAAAAATGCCTGATGATGATTGATGCCATTTTGTTCCCGTGAATTCAGTCAGTCGCATTCTAATTCGTTCGGCCATAATGTTTACATTCAGTATATTATATTAATTAGTGTCGCCCTTTAGTTCCATAAGGAAGCAGGGAGTTAAGTTGATAATTTAACTCAATTACCCTCGAATCGTACGGTCAGTCCCGGAGGCCACCTGATACCCTAAAAGCCCTGTAGAATTTATATGCTGTTAATTATCAAATAATCCCATATGCTACTTGACCGTCATAAATTGTACATTTAACTTAATATACCGATATTTTAGGCCTTTTACTTCTCTCAGTCGTAATATTGGGAAGGGAAAAGACCTGGGGTGCTGTAGGTCAAAAAGGTGAACACGGAGATATGAAAAGGGCGAAGGGGCAAAGCGACTGGCCGGTGTAAAGCCAAAAAGCTTAGTCGCCCACAAGCATCGCCGGTTAACAAGATTGCCATGTTACATGCGGCTTTGCAAGAAGCTACATATTTTTAGTGGGCCCGAGCACCACTGGGAGAAAACTCATTTTGAAGATTCCCCTTTTATACACGAACCCCTCGCCACTATTTACAATTCACGGGATAAATTTCATCAGCCCTTTGCCGAACCCTTTTAAAACCGTAAATTTAAATTGTTAATGGCCGATCCAAGAGAGTCTCTTCAGGTTAAAGGAAACATCTCAATACTTTTCATCTATTCACTTACCTAATTTGAATTAAAAATCTTTCAATCAAAATTGCTTAGATCATCTAATAAATTGCTCATCATAAATATCCTAATTAAAAACAAAATTCAGTAGTGCCAGTATTCACTCATTCTTCCAATCTAGTATTGCTGTTGATTATTCTGTTAATAATTTCCCACCCCTTCAAAATCCAGCATACATAAACATAATACATCAATACTTCACTGGCACTCTCAACACGACACGCAAGAATGGCACAATTACACAGAAGACAAACACTTTGAGTGAGTAGAAATACTTTGATTGAATATAAAAAATATATTTTGCATTGTATAAATTCACTTTTCCACACTCTAAATGTATTTGTTAAATGTAAACAATGTTTGTAAATCCCAGGCCCTGAAGATGATCTCAATAAAGATCGAAACGTTGGCACGATAAAGAAAATGTTTTTCTGAAACCTACATCACACTAGACCGCATCTCACGATTTCTGAATAATTAGTTAATAATATAGCTAACATAACGATTATGATCTGAGCTGAAAAACATATCTCGATCTCCGTTAGTTACACAACCCAACTGAAGATTAAAAAAATACCAAAAAACCAGGCAAAACCAGCGATTCAGAATAATCGCTAATAATAGAGTCGACCAAACTTCAATAAGAAAAATTTCAATTTTATAGTCAAAACCTCACTGGAAGCGCATTACGCAAACCAAACAAGCGTAGATCTACCTCATAATTATAATGCAACTTGATAATACCAGATGATCCTGCTCTGCCAATTTTTGCTACATTAATCAGTTTCGATATTTCTAGTGTTAGGACTAACAGGAAAAACGCAGATATGCTCTACAATTAATTAAAAAAACGCCAGCAGAACAAAGATAATTACACTGTTTCAGTCTACAACCATATAAAAGGGCACGATTGATTAACTAACCACTGATGGTGAAATGCCAAAACATTTCTGACCAAACCAACCGATAGGAAGACCTAGATCAAAAACGATCAAACTACATTCATCACCCTGCAGACCTCAATAATACATCCCACAATTAGTATTGTCTGCCTAAATATTTTTCTTATATTCAGACGAGTTGCGGTATTTTGCCAACTTCAGTGCCAAAAATGATTGACAAAGCCAGTGATTAGACAGATCAGGATAATCTGAGATAACTAAACTACAATTCCATCACTTCACAGACCTCAACAAGAAATCTTACAATTTAACACCACTAGACATGACACAAGTAACCACTTAAGATTTAAAAATTCTGAAACGCTTATGTCATATCTAACCAGCAAGTTTAATCAGATCAGGATGATGGAGAACAACACAACTAACCACGAGGTGCCTAAGGCTGGGACAACCAAACCTCCACACTTTATCACCACGATCCAGCCATCTGATGAAAAAAAAAAAACACATTAAAAAAAACATTATTAGAAGAAAGTGGCAGTGTCAGTGAATAGGATTGGCAGAGCTCTCAAGTTTCAAGAGTCAATATTTGACCTTCAGAGGATCTGATGTGTAGAAAAATAGTCATCCTCACCAATTAAAGATTGGCCATGCGAGGTTGAAAGAAACACTTAGTTTTGGACTAAAGCCTGTGTATCTGTCTGGCTTGTAAAGAAAGGTTGCTCAATGTGTCCTACCTAATTGAAGGGTGCAATTCCTTGGCTTCATATAGTGAGGGTGCAGGAATGCCATGCTATGAGAATTGTGCTTAAGCACAGCAGTATTTGGGTTCTGAACACACATGGTATATTTGTACATACATGTACAGATATGAGCTTAGATAAATCATTAACAACATAAAATATAATCAGATTTCTGTTGAATTTGTTGGTCTGACACTATTTGGTGGAGTGTAGGACCAAAGTCTGAAATTGAATCTCTTCATGGTTTCTTCTGCATTATGTTTTTGTTGCATTCTGTTGTTTTCTTCTGTTCAACAACCTGCATTATGATGAAAAAGAAAAATTGAATATTTATGTGACATGTATTTCTGCCATTCATCGGTGATAGTTTTATACCTATGACCTGCTACGGTTTTTGAGGGGCTCAAATTCGCGGCCCTCGATTTGTTACGCTAGGCATGCATGGAACTACAGATATGAGTTAATTAAGGAGTTTAATTTTTGATTTGTATTGTATAACCTGTTTTTCTATTCTCTTTTTCAGATTTTAACAGTTATTTCTCCTTTTTTTTTCATTTTATTGCCTAGGCTATAACTTTTATCTTATTTTATTATTTTTTTCGTTTCTGATTGTTTAATCAACGACCTCTGGCAGGCGGATCCAAGATCCGTCCTTAAATGCTTTGAAATCAAAATTGTATTTTTTCCTTTCTTATTTCAATAAAGCATTATTATTAGGTTTATACAAAAAGATAAAATAGTTATTTTCCGACAGTCTAAGGCCCCGTTGCACCAGTCACGGTTCAAGCCGGGTTCACTGGAACGTCGTTCACAATTTGAACGAAGTTCAGAGAAGCCAGATTGACTGATGATTGGAGACAACCAAATGAAAAGTTTTGTCACCCCACAGTCCTCAATAAGAAATCTAACATTGCCAAGACCCAACCTCTTATAACAGCAAAACACATCTAGACTGTCGATTATTAAGTGCTGCAGCTTAAACGATTTTATCGTATAACTTGTATGCTTTGCCTCCATTTTCTCAGTACAACTGTAGATTTTTTCATGTAAATTTTTAAAATACCAAGTAGCACAAATTCTCTAATATTGTAAAATTTCAATGGGATTTACATTTAAAAAATTATAGAAACACTCAAGAGAATATATTTGCAAAATAGTTAACGTATCACATTCTATGGAAGGGATAAGAAACTAATCAACAAGTTTAGTTGTTACTTGTATTTCTTGCCATTTTTGCTTTTATTTTGATACAAAAAATATTCATAATCAAATTAGGAAAATCTAAAAAAACTAAATCAACAAAACCTGCAAAATAAGAGACAAATTATGTCTATAATCTTTAATAACATTCCGTCAAAAGATACAAGAGGTACCACATTTAATAAAACGAGTAAAAATATAAAACATGTTATATTTCTATTTTATAAACAAAATGATCATCACTAACAACAAAATGTACAATTTACAATGTTAGCAAAATTAAGTATTCTTCTGATAAAAATCTATAACAAGTGTGACTTAACAGAGGGGGAAAAAATAAAAATCAGTTGACTGTACAAATTAATTTTAAAAATGTAAAAGGCAGGAGGCCAGTAAAAGTCATGTTCGGAATTCAATAATTAAAAGTATATAAAAGTCATAATTTAACAAGTTCTGCTTTAAAAATAAATTGCTTGAACATTATTGTTCATGATTCATCTCCACTATCTATTTCCTGATCAGATAGTTCATCCCATCTTTCCTCCGAATCATCGGCATCGACATCGTTCATTAGTGACTCGCCATCCTCTGATGATTCTAAACAGAAGGAAAGAAATTAGGAAAAAAAACAATACAGTATTTACTCAAAAATAACCTACCTTCATCCTGGTATAGTACAACTGGATCCATATTCGCAAGAAAATTTGATTGGGGCGCTTCAATTTGATGTAGTACCTGTCCGAGCCTACCTTGCAGACTGCTCAAAGGGCCCAGCAATGATAGCCTGGTTTCTAAATGCGATTGAACAGACGCAAGGAGTTCGCAGGCGGACGAATCTGCTATTAACTGCGAAGCATGGACCCTCATGATAGCTTTGAGCCAAGCCGAGCCAAGAACACAACTTAAAAAAAAAAAATTATTGTTCTGCACAAAAATGAATTTACATATACAATTTTTTGGAGCAATTGAATTTACTCACCAAAGAGTCTTTCCTTGAAGTTTGTTTTTAAGTTCTTGCAAAAGAGGTGTAAGTACCTGGATAGGTAACCTCGACACTGTCTCTTGAATTACTTCAGGATCTCTTCTCATTAATACTGAGTCTAATATTGTTTTATCTTTACTTTCCAACCCCTAAAAAGATGAAAATAATTAATCTTTCAAAAATGTACAAATAAACAAAAACACAACTCTTCACAAACTATTACCTTTAATTAAATTGTAAATGTTTAAAATATTAACAAAAAAAACTTCTAAATAAAACAAGTAGAAAATAAAATGTGTGCCACATCCAAAACAAAAATTTAAAGTGAAAAAACAAGCGTTTGACCTATAAATTTTTATTTATTACCATTTTTATTTATTTATTTTATTTTTTTCTCAGAACATAGAAGAAAATCTAAATTGTATTTTATATCAAATAAAATCAGGAGAAAACATACACTCAGAAAAAAGAACCGGACACTCATATTTTGCTGTTTATTTCAAACGATTTGTATTTTGATCATTATATTAATTACAACATACTTATTTTAATGTAAACCATACTAAATGAGATCAGTAATACATGATTTTTAATAGAAATTATTTAATTAGGACAGTTTTGACCTGGTTTCCCTTCTTCATAACGCATATTACCTCCTCTGGACTCAAGGAGTGCCTTAAGACTCCTTGGCATGTAGTAAATAAGCTATCACAGTTTGTCTTGTGAAACAGAATTCCATTCTTCAACAGGAGCGGTTTGAAGTAGTTTGACGCTTGTTGGAGGCAGCAAACGATGCCTAGCTCTTCTCTTTCTCATGTCATATGCGAATAGTCACCACCTTTCTACTCAATGCCTCTCCAGTAGTAGATTACCTCATGTAAGGCAACTATTCTCACGAAACCTTTTAAGACTGTTTTAGAGCTTACATCTCAGACTTTAACAGTTGACTACCTATCAAAGAAACAGTTTGACGTTCCCTAGTGCCAGTAGTGCAAACTAACATCTCTAACCCTTGTACATTGTAGGTCGACCACACCATCTCTTTGAGCGAGATTTTTAGTGGCCCTAAACCACTGCAGGCCATCGTGTGTGGTAGACCACAGCACACTCAGGACTTAGGCATCTACCCAGGTGAGATCTCAACTTAAAACCATGCTTTTAAGGAAAAAATTAATAATTAATTTTTTATTCAAATTTATTGTTTCATCAAAGAAAACAATTTAAAAACCACTCTATAAGTTGGCTTTGATAAGGTTGAATTGAACTGATTTGCTTGTTTTTAATCTAAAGAGTGTAAAAGAATTAGTAATACTTTATAAAAGTAAACAAGTTGTTACTGTTGTGTTTACGTTTGAAGTTATTATAGAATAAACCTAGTTATTATGGAAAATAAACAAATAAATACAAATGTCCAGTTTTTTTCTTTGGATGTATATTATGAAATAAAATGTTTGATTTTTTAATAAAAACTTTTTTCTATACTTTTTACCTAAAATCTGAAATCGTTGGTTTTTGCACATTTCAAAGTTTTTATTGCAAGTTTTTAAATTTTTACTGCATGGAATTTCGAGCGTAAGATTTGTATTGACATTTAACATGTAATTTTTTTAAGAAATTAGTCACTGACTTTCCACAAAACTAACCAAAATTGTTAATTATACAAAAATATTGTCAATTTTTTTTAAGTTTTGCAATACTTTTGACTCAGATATATTTTCTTCAAATATATACGAATGTTTACTTTAATCCAAATGTTCAGCCTAGATATTCTTGTGTTTTACATACCTGAATAAGTAGTTGAGACATATTAAAAGGACTCTGTTTGTTCGTTCCTGACAGATCTTTGTAATCAATTGAAAGATTGCCCAACCTTTCTTCCATAGGGATTTCATTTTTGCCCACAGATTTCCTTTTGACAGCCGTTGAAGCACTTACATATTCAACGTTTTCTGTTGCCTCACCACCAACCTGAAAATGATTTTCATTAAGCACTGTTAAGAAAACAAGAATGATATTTTTTAATTTTTACCTTGACTGAGTTGTTTAAAACTGGTTTTACATTTTCAGTTCGTATAAGGCATATTCTATTTTCCTTTCCTTCCGTTATATTCTGTTAAAAACAAGTTCTCATTAACCAAAATCATTATATTAAAAATAATAAAATAAATTGAATACTCACGATAGTTTCAAAACTAAACTGAGGGGAGTACCCATAAACAATATGGGCTGTAGTAGGGGTTGTAAGTTTTACAGAGAGGATTGGAAGAGGTGATACTTTGGAACTTTCTTTTGGATCTGTCGCTATTTCTACAGTTTGCTTCGGTTTAATAGATTTCCCAATTTTTCTAAATATAAAATTATAATACATAATTAATATATTTTTAATGTATTAATATTAATTTAAACATAAAAATTGACAAACCCATTAAGTTGATGATTAAAATAGTGCAAGCAGCCGTTTCTTGTCGCAGCGCCTAAATGTAGAGAACCCATATTCTCAGATATACTAATATCACTATTTATGGAATCACTGAGAGCAAACCTTCCAATGGGATCAGTTGATTCCCCATGCACATTCCTACAAAAAAATCGATATTTGAAATTTTGAAAAAAAATTTTTACATATTCTAAATATTCTATATTCTAGAAATTGGCTTACCATGTGGAAATATGCCTGTCATTGGAAGCAGCAGAAATAAAATATTGCTGGTTGACAAATTGTATATGTGTTATTTCACTACTATGACCAGTAAATGTTTTTATTAATGATTGTTTTTCCACATCCCAAAGGCTAAGATCATAGCTGCCAGTGACACAGAGATCTCCTTTCGGTGAGACAGCCAAGCACGTAGGTCTTCCTTTTGAGCATTTCCATTTGCTACAATTAATTGTTTTAGTAATAACCACAAAATTAAGGTTCGTCACATTGTAAATTAGGCCTTTAAAATATTTAAATTGTATTTTCTTACCTCTTTATACAAGCATTAGCTAAGTCCCAGTTGATAACAAAGTTGTCACCAATGGAAAAGAGTCCCTGCTCCTTCGACCATGAAAGTGCATGGACAGTTGTATTATGACCACCTTCTAACGTTTGGATCACTTTGCCTTCAGAAAAACTGTACAATGCTATGACTCCACTGCCCGTACCTATGACTATGATCTTGGTTTGCTTTCCATCTAGCTTCCTTTTTCTGTTTTTCCACGACGATGATACCTGCAACAAAACACTCAATTAATCTTCATGGACACAAACTGAGAAAAATTTCCATAAATCGAAACATTAAAAAATATTAAATTCACTAATTTCGTGGTCCTCTTGACCAATTAATATATTACAATTAATTAAGGTTTTTAGTTGAGATAAAAAAGTCAATGGCACGAGCGGGATTCGAAAAATGGCAAAAAGGAGGGAAAATTCAAAAGGTGGGGTTGAGATGGTAAGTTAGTGTCCGAGTGGATCGAGGTCACGATAGCTCAAGTAGTAGAGCAGCGGCGTATCTAGCTGAAGATCGTGGGTTCGAATCCTGCTCATGCCATTGACTTTTTTATCTCAACTAAAAACTTTAATTAATTGTAATTAAAAAAAAAATTAATCTTTAGCTAAATACAGAGATCTGCCCAATCAAGCAAAATTCACACGTAAAAATTTGTTGGTTTCATACAGAAAAAAAAATTGAAGTTGCGCTAACATTTTTGGCATTTCAACTAGACAAGTTTGTGAAATTCAAATCCAAAACAAGTAAACAATTAGATTCAGAACTAAATAAAATATAGATGCATACAATTTTGACAACATGGATTTATGAAAAACATGAAGAGCTGATCAAGAAATAGTGTTGAAATGAGTTTAAACTACAATCAGTGGACAATCTAATCTTATATTTTCAAAACTTTTTTCATAAATTCTGAATGAAAGGATTGCTCTTTTTTATAACTCAACTAATTTACAAAATGTTTTATACTCAACATTAATTTGATTAGGAATATGACACACTAAAAGAGTGTTGTTGTTTTTTTTAAATAATTTAAAGGCTGAAACCTTATTGGTCATTAAGCTTTGAATCTGTGCAAGTCAACGGCGCAGCCCGGCCCCCTCAGAGCGAGGCCCCCGCAGACCCCGGCGCAGTGGCAGCCCCAGGCCTAGAAAGAACGGAACCCCACGGATCTCTCGCAACTGATGCTTTTAGTCTTAATATTGCGCGCAGGACTTTATCGAGGAGGGGTCGGTGTCTAGTCACCATCGACACCTCTAAGCTCGCTGGTCCTTGACCTCAGAGTCCGGGGAGGCACCCCTCAATCCAGCCCAAGACCGACCAGCACCCGAGGCCCCGCACGGGCGTCGCCAGAAGTCAGCCGCACCACACCGCCAACACGGGGAACCAGCGAAGGAAACAAGAGTTGAGGGGATGGGATATTAGATTTTATCAATTAGTTGGACGTCTGTTAAGAAGTTAAAAATTTTGTTTATTGATGTTGATTTGTTGCTTAGTATGGATTGGAGGTCTTTGGGAATCTGATGGAGGGTTCTTGTAGAGGTGTATAAAGGACAATCTATTAGGATGTGGGATATTGTGATGGTAGTTTTACAGAGTGGACATATAGGTTTAGGAGTTCTTTCAAGGTGGAATCTATGGGTGAGTCGGGAGTGGCCAATTCGAAGGGTTAGGAGGGTTTCTTCTTTTCAGGATCTGGAAGAGGATTCCCATTTCTTTACATCTTTCTTTATTGCGAGGAGCTTGTTTCCTGTGCAGGCACCACATTCACACTTACAGATGAGCCGCCTAAAGTGACAGCAGAGGTCACTGAAGGGGACCCCTCCGTGAAGAATACCATTTAAGGCTGCCTCTCTCGCCATACAGTCCTTCTCATTTTCAGTTATTCCAGCGTGGCCTGGGATCCATTTGAATAATACTTCTACACCTATGTCTATTGCTTTACCTTTGCAAGAATATTGTAGATGTCTGGGTTTAGGGAGAATGTGTTTTTTAGTGTGGTGAGTGCTAAAAGAGTCAGAACAGATAATTAGGGTGGTACGGGACACATTAATGATGTTAATTGCTTAGAGTATAGCTAGGAGTTCAGCAGTAAAACTAGAGCAATGGTGATATAGGCGGAAACGATATACTTGTGACTCACAGACAACAGCAGAAAAGAGTGCTTAAGTGCACAGTTCCTCACTGAAGATGGCACATCTGGATAATTCGACAAACCCGCAAGGGAAGACAGATAAGTCGAAGCATAGGGAACTTTTTTCTACTTTAACTAGGCAAGTCGATATGGATTGATGAAAATTATTAAGAGCTGATCCAGAAATAGCATCAAAATTATTTTTAATTAGAATTGCTGTACAATCTAATCATACATTAAAACGCTTCCCATAAATAACTGAACGAAAGAAATCCCCCCCACAATTCAATTAATTTAGAACCCATTTTATAAATATTTATTTTGTCAGGAATATGACAGCCTGACAAACCAACAGATAGTGCTCAACTCAAGTATTTATGATGCTGTTATCAATTATAATCTATTTTTTTCATATACATGGAACTTAACCAATATCATACAATAGATGAAGTACACAAGCGATGACACATTTGAAAATACATAAATACAAATTTGTAGCCCTTTTCTTTGACTAGGCAAGTTCATTTAATAAAAACCCAAAATGTACAAATTATTAGATTTAAAACTGATAAAACTGATCACAAAATAGCATTACAATGTGTTTACACTTGGTAAACTTTAAATATACATTAAACCTCTTTTCATTAATAACTGATTAAAACAACTGCTTTTTAATCATTCAACTAATTTAGAACTCATTTTATACATAATACTATTTTAGTCAGGAATATGTTATAAGATGGTTGATTCACTGACAGACAGAGCTTAAGTACTTACACTGTTTATCATGCACAAGAGTAAATAAATAAATAAATAATAAATAAATAAATTTTTTTTTAAAACTATATCGTATTAATTTTGTAAGGAATGGGTACAAAAAAAACTAAACGGACTAATTTCGTTAGATATACATACATGTTCAAATGACCGATCCATGTAATGACGAGTAGTGCTTAAATACCTGCACTGTTGATCAACCGTGAACTATTCTTTCAAATACATGGAGCTCAGCACTATCATAAAGTAAACAGGTGCTCAAAAGATGACAAATTTGTACGTACATTGATGATAAAAATTAGGTGCTATTTCATAATAAAAAAAGAAGGCAATGCTAAAATGCCGTACCTAATTTCCCCTAAATGGAAAGCTAAAGGAAATCCAAAAGTATATTATATTTGCAGGGATTGATGAAAAATATTTAGGGATGATTCAGAAATGGCGCTGAAATGTGTTTAGCTATATCCGAGCTAATATGTACATCAGGGATTAAATATTCAACTTTATATCATATTAATTTTGTCAGGAATGGCTACACAAAAAATAAATAAATCGACTAGTTTCGTTAGATATACATTAATGTTAAAATGACAAATCCACGCGATGATGATAAGTGCTTAAGTACTTACGCTGTTGATCAACCATGATCTATTCTTTCAAATACCTGGAGCTCAGCACTAACCAAAAACTATTAAGGGATGAAGAAATTGCGTTGAAGAGTGTTTAGCTATATTTGGGTTAATATGTTCATCAGAGATTATATATTCAACTTTATATCACATTAATTTTGTCAGGAATTGTTGCAAAAAAAAAAATAAATTGACTAGTTTCATTAGATATACATTAACGTTCAAATGACAGATCCACGCATTGACGGGTAGTGCTTAAGTACTTACACTATTGATCATGATCTATTCTTTCAAATCAGCACTGTCAAAAAGTAAAACAGGTACACAAGAGGTACACAAACACAATATATCATGCATATATCACAGATTGTATGTTAATATCATAAATTTTGTCAGGAATGTTTAAAAAAACAAACTAAATCAGCTAGTTTCGTTAGATATATAGAAATATACACGACAGGGCCACGCTTAAGTACTTACACTGCTGATCGGAATGGATATCCATATGAGTGCTGTGCATGGAGAACTTAAGTGGAGATTGGGCACGTACTCCTGCTTCAGAGTGCCGGCAGACGTCTCCCAGAGTTTGAGCTTGCCGTCCGGTCCGGAATAGGCGAAATACTGCCCGCAGTCAGAAAACGAATAAATGTCTTTAACCATTGTTTTCCGTCCGAAGGGGGCATTAAACTTTTAACATTAAACTTTATCACCCTTTTTCTCGGATTTATTTCTAACCCTGGATCTCGTGACGCACCACGTGCGCTCTCTTCTCGCGACACGCCGTCGAAAATAAAAGTAAGATTGAAGGTGTCCTGCCTGCAAATTCGCAGGGGTCAGCCCTACATTGGGCCGAATACCGACGATGAACTGAAAAAATACACAACACTCGGAGTTTCCGGACGTCTGGTTCAAAGAGTTAAACTATTATTTAAATATTACTGAGGAGGTCGGGCAATACTCCGTTGAAAACCGACTGGAATTAACTTCAACAGTCGTCACTCGTGTTCCAGTGCCACAGTGTTTTTTCACCACGCCGACAACCAGCGCTTCAATCACCAACACCAAAACTAATGGATGCACTTTTGACCAACTTTTTTCAAAAATATATCCCAATCTCATGAATGGAAAAGAGTTTAATCAGAATATACTATGAAAATCTAAGCTACTTAACAGAAATCACTTAAAACAAAAGTTCAAAAACATTCGTCTTAAAAAATTTCAAATAATAGTATAAAATACATTTTTTTAAATATATCCATTTTTAATTCTGCATTACTACAATTAGATGATTAAAACATCACTGATACTAAAATTTTAAAATTTCCCTAAAATAATAAATGGTATTCAGTAGACTCTAGTTTTCAGTGCTTTTGTTATCCAGACTTTAACTCATCCATGGTTGCTTCACCTATTAGAGTTATATATTTTTTAGACCCTTAATAACTTTTTTCAATTTTTTTTAATATCGTGCATAGGTTCATATGTTTGACGTATATACACATATGAACATGTTGTTTTCCTGTGTGGAATAAACTTTATATATATATGTTCCTTATTGAAGTTCATATATCATTGACAATATGCACATAGGATACAGAAAGTATTTGATTGGTGTGCAAATAGAAGAAAATGCTTCAAAGCCTAGAAATTAGAGGTGGACCCAAAACAAGCCGGCAAGGAAGCAGAACGTACTAGTGCTATCCGGGGAAGTAAATTTCATAATCTTGACCCTCAATTCTGAAGGATAAGGCTAATGGTTTAGAAGAGTGTTGAAGGCTTGGGATATGATCGGTGTGTTTGGATAGATATTGACGCCAATTATTTTATTTTAAAAATATATTAAAACTCTAAGTTTAAATGTTTAGAATGTTATGGTTGCTGAAGGCGTTAATGTAGGATGAAATATAATCTCTTGGTTTAAGATCATAACAGTATCTAATGGAGGAATGATAAGCAATTTGAAAGCAATGAGGAGATTGAGAGTCTAAGAAAAGTGAAAAAAAATAGCATTACAGTAAAAGAATAAAGGAATTATTAGAGATTGAATAAGAACTCTAGCTTTCTGTGGAGTGAAAAAAAGGCATTGGAGAGAATGAAGGCTTGAGTAGACGTTTTTAATAATAGAGCTCATCAGGTCATGCCATGTAAGCTTGGAGTTAAAAGTAACGCCAAGATTTTTCACTTTAGAACAAAAATTAATGGAGAAGTCATTGATATGAGGAAGGGATAAGCAATCTGAACTAATGGTTTATAGGAAATTAATAAGGATCCCGATTTGTTAGGGTTTAAAAGAATGCCGTTATTTCTTGACCATTGGTTGAGAGAATGAAGATCACGGTTGAGCAGAGAGATAGTTTCAGAGATGTTGCATATAGGACATTGAATGTAAAGCTGAGTGTCATCAGCATAGAGATAAAAGTAGGAGAAATTAAGAGCTAATGGAAGATCATTTAGAAACATGGAAAACAGAAAAGGACCAAGAATAGAGCCTTAGAGTACACCAGTTGAAAATGAGCGAGAAGAGGAGATAGAATTTGAAGCTTTGACTCTCCGAGTTCTGTCAGACAGATAGGAGGAAATGAGGTTAGTAGCAGTAGAAGAAAAACCAAAAAGGTGCATCAGTTTCCAAATAAACAAATTATGATTTATGGAACCAAATGCATTGGAAAAATCAAATAGAACAATAATAGTACACTTATTATAATCAATGCCTTTGCAAATATCATCTGAGATTTTGAAAATTGCTGTTTCACAACTATGAAATTAACAGAAGCTAGATTGAAAAGGGGATACGAGGGCATGGGTGTCAATAAATAAGGATATTTGCTTAAATAAAATCTTCTCAAATGAAAGTGATGGAAGATTAATAGCACGATAGTCACTAGTAAAGGTAGGTTTAGGTTTCTTGGGTAATGCAAGTATTAGAGCTTTCTTCCAGGCTGAAGGAAAACAGGATGAGGGAGAGAGAAGTTCAAAATGTGGATTATGCATTTTAAAGTAACAAGAAGGGGAAAAAGTATGAGTTTAATAGCAGGAACCTTCTTTTTTTCCCCATCCACCTCCCCACCGTACCTAAGGGAGACCCCATACCGGCAGACCATGACCACTAAACTAATTCAAATGGGATGCAAGTTTAGGGGATCTTATTGTGCTTAACGTCTTCCTTCGACCTTGCCCTGAAAGGGAAGACCCAAAGAAGAAGGGAAATATTTTTCTTATTATTAATTTATCTAATCTAATAGGTCTCCCCCTTGCTGGTTAATCCTTTTGAATACACTTTCTAATAAATACAATATTTTAAGAAATAAATAACAATGATGGGTACAAGGAGTAACCAGCACGGAATTAAAAGTTCAGGGAAACGCTAAGATCTAACAAGTAACTTATCATAGGAAGAAAAAGAAGAAAAAAGAAAGAAAGAAAAATTAATCAGGTACTTTATCCACTATATAGCTCGGCTAACAGGCTTGAGGACCTCAAACGTCCTCTTTTCTTTAACCAGTTCGTTGAGGGTCGGTGGTCAAGTGTGGCGGAAGAGGAGCTTTAGTGGTTCCCTCACACTCTCAAGGAGGGGGCAGTTGAATAGTCTGTGTTTGACACTGTCATCAACTCCGCAGTCGGGACACAGTGGACTGTTAGCTCTATGGAATCGGTGCAAGTAAGCGTTGAAATTTCCATGACCTGTCATTATTTGTGTGACCCAGAAATCTGGTTGAAACCACTTTGCTCTTGCTCGGTCCTCAATACTGGGTAGAAACTCGTGGGTTAACCTTCCCTTGGTGCTTCTGTCCCATTTTTCCTGCCACAAGTTGTCTATCCAAACTGTAAGGATCTCCCGGATCTGCTTTCTAGGTGCAGTTCATAGCCTTTCCCTAGCTGATGCATCCAAAGTAATAGCAGGAACCTGTAGCATTAGATTTAGTCAAAAGAATGGCTTCTAAAACATTTTCATGAGTTATATTTGAAAACTAAAGGACAATTTACGGTGATCTAGATAAGCTGGAAAAGGAGTTTTAGTTTGTAGGGAAGAGGACATGGAAGCAAAAAACAAGATTAATTCATAATTATTATATTATTCACATGACATGAATGAGAACTGTCGACTTTGTTTTTAAGACCAAGTTTTCTAATGATGTTCCTACTTAGGTGGTAAATTATGACCAAGCAGTTGATGAAAAGTCATTTTCTACGATTTGTGGGCTAGATTTCTCGCTTTATTTCTTAGAATTTTAAACCCAGATAGGAGCCCTGGTGAATTTCCATTTGTTGTAGGCTGAATCAAGAGATTTAAAAGCAAGTTTAATTGTGTGAGAAAACAAAGGCATAGCAGGGGTGAAAAATTTTAATCTTCATTAATGGAGCTACTAAGTTCAAGACAAAAAGGAAATTATTATTTAGGATGGTTAACATTTGTAGATTGAAAATGGGATCTCAATTTAATTTGAAACTAGATCCAATGACAGATTGAGATGAAATAGAGTGTAATTTACGACATTCGATGTACCGAGGGGAAAACTTAAAATTTAGGTATCACAACAGTCCTGTAGGTATTGCAATTGGGACATGATTACTAATAAAGTACGGGGTACGATTACACCCTGAATGAAGCTTGAATTGTAAGTTTTAGTATAAGAAAATTCTACTTTTTCTTCCGTTGTTAGTAATTTTTTGACGTGTTATAGTTTGAAAAATCCGCAACGCCGCGTCTCATCCTCGTTGAACCTTCTCGTTTCAAGTTCTAGATCGATTAGTAATTTAATCCACCAGAATTTTGTTGTAAGCTTCGTCCGACCGGCCACGTTTAGTTGATTTCTCTAAACTCATGGTCTGGACGTAGCTTTTGACCTGACTTTTTATTTTTTGGTTTCGTCTCGCCACTCATCGCCTCCTTTTGACAGCCGAGAGGAAGACTGACGGTCCTCCGATTTCCAATCTATTTCGCTAATTATGTATTTAAATAGCTGGGATGAATTTGAGAAGGCAGCTCAGAATTTGTACTTGCAGAACCCAATGAAGGTTAATTAATTGTTAAGATTGTAAAACTATCACATATTGAAGACTGTTGTTTATTTTATTACAAATTTAACTTTAGGTCCGCTATTCGATGAAATACACCCACAGCAAAAACTTGCTGAAAGTCAAACTAACAGACAACGCAGTCGTAAGTTTTTTCCTGTTCTGTCACGTCTTATACTTCATTTAAAGAAACTAACTATTTCGATATTTCAGTGTTTTCAGTATAAAACAGAAAACCAACCCGAAGTGAAGAAAATAGAAAAATTCATAAACAATCTAATGCGGCATATGGCATCGAAGGAGCACTCGTAACACAAGAAGGAGAAAGGCTGTCAGGGATTTTGATATATATATTTTTTTTTATTTAAACACTGTACAGATCTATGTATATATAAATTTGTTTTGTAATAAATGAAGTATTTTTCTTTCACTCTTATGATTCCTCCCTTTGTATTAATTGCTGATGAATTTGTGATTCGTTTTGCCTGCTTAGTTTGTTATTACCAACAAAATGATGACCAGGCCCTTACTCCATGTTATGTAGTTGTGTTTGGTAGAAAAAAAGAAATGTGTGGATAGAGTTCAGTCTAGATTATTTGGAGATCGTGAGATGCGGTCTAGTGTGGCGTAGGTTTTAGAAAAACATTTTCTTTATCATGCCAACGTTTTGATCTTTATTGAGATCATCTTCAGGGCCTGGGATTTTGTAAACATTGTTTAAATTATACAAAATACGTGTAGGATGTGAAAAAAGTGAATTTATACAATGCTAGAAATTTAAACTCAATCAAAATATTTGTATTCAAGACTACTGTTCAGTCTTGACTTGGTGTTGAGAAGGGAAACTGAAAAAATCCATCTGAAAGCTCAAGCAATCGGATTTTTATTTTATTTGTTACAAAAACTCATTTCTGTTGAGAGACCTATTTTTATTTTTATTTATTTATTTATTTTTTTTTTTTTGTATTTTACAATCAAAGTTTATACTTTTAAGTTGCCCTTAAGGTACAAATTGTTAATATTTTAAACTTCGCATTATTGTTATTCATTTGCTTGTAAGCAAAGGTTTATGGTTTATTTGTTTTGTTTTTATGACAGAGAATGTCTTGATACTTTTTTTATTTATTTTATTGAAACATAGAAGCGAATCTCTACTCATATTTTGTGATTTTACTTCCCAAACAAATTCCTTTGATTTTGAGTGAACACCACTGGCTATCCACACATGGGACATTATCAGTACATTTTGTCACACATATTAGACAAATAATTAGGAAAAAATGGGTAAAAAAGGAAACATGACAGGCCTTCTGCATGTTCACCCATTTTGCAGGAGGAAACTACTGCAACGCATGTTTTTTCCACAGATCAGCTTCAAATCGAACATGCGATCTGTGAAAGCATTTTACACTGCCAGAAAAACTTGATTAATGCCAAGTAAATAGTAATAAATTTAGATTTACAAATTCATTATAATGGATGTTGATCAGCAAAATTCTCAACATTCTCCACAAAATTCAAATTCATTTACTTTGAAACAGGAGGGACCAAATATAATTCTGATAGAATGAATTTATTTATTTATATTGTATAAATTAAAATATTAAGAAAAATTATATGTATAAAGTAAATTTAATTAAATGAGCATAAATTGTTATTTATACATTTTAAAAATATAGTTTTTTTGTATAATTTCATTGTTGGTTAACATAAAAACCAAAATGCTCTATGATGCAGAATATTATATTTTGGTATGAATTAAAGAGATAAATCTTCAAAATACTGCTTTTTTTGATTATTATAATAAATATTCTGTACGGAAAGTAGGTCAAAAAGTGATCAAAACTTGGATTTGCCATGATTCTTGTGTTATAAAAACCTTACATACCAATTTTCTTATAGACATTTTTTTATATATTTTTATGGTACATCATCGTCATTAAAACGTTATGTTCCTGTTCTTTCAAATGTTATGTTTGACGTTAAAAACCTATTAGCCATTTTTGAATTATACCATTTCAGTCAGATATTCTGATATTGACTTCTTAAAAATTGGAAATATTTTAAGGATCGAAAAATCAATAAATTTAAATTTTTAAAAAATTACATTTAGGGACCTCTAGAGCTGCTAAAACGAAATTTCATATTAGTTTTAAGAAAAAACAATGTATAACTTAATTTACTTGAAATAAATAACAATATTTTGGTTATTGATACACTTTGACTGATTTTACTATATTTTTATTACAATCTACCTAAAAATTGCTGTAAAATGATATATTCACATAGTTGATTTGAGCAAGTAGAACAGCAAAATAAAAATATTAAAAAACAGTAAATTTCAAGTTTCAATTTTTTTGCAAAACCAGAGCCTATTCACAAGAAATGGCAGATACATGACAGATATTTTAGAGTGTAGAATCACCAAAAAAGTGGCCCAATCCATGACGCACCAACTTGGTCGTCCCCTTTTCATTATTTAAGAGGTCAAACACTCCAACCTGGTCTCCGTTTGTTAGACGCATCGAATAAATTACCCCAATTAAACACGACAATTACTGAAATAGCTCACAAAATGTTCTATATAAATTCAAATTTATATGAAATTATGCTGAGTCCCTCAAATGCATAAAGAAAAATTGAATATCATTTCTAGGCAACAAACATAAAACTTGCCTTAACTTAAGCAAATTTTGTCCCATTATGTAAAAAACTTCGTCAAATGTATTTGACACAATTTTAAAATAGTTCCTTAAAATGGCCCAGTTTATAATAAAAATATAAAATACACATTGGTTAAGAGAATTTTGTTTTTTACACATTAATCCACTGTTTAAATTTTTTTGTTAATATAAATGCATATAAATCCAGACTCTATATAACTAATTATCGACAAAATAACAGACCACCACTGAAGAAGTTCACAATGATTTTTCTTTTTTCTTTTTTTTATTTGGTAACTTTTTGTTAATACATAACTACTTTCATGAATATTTTACTGGAGGAAAATGAATTGGAAATCAGTAGGATTAAAAAATTATCACAATAAAAACAAAACTGTTTAATCTCAACTCAACAAGAATTGAGTGAATTGTGTTCTGAGTTGCTATTTACATTGTACTTCACATTTTGTATTACATCTTATATTGTACTTCTTTGGAGTTAACATCATCTGAGGAAGTCTATAAATTAACTTTCACACAATAGTGTAATAAAATTAAGCATTTAATATAAAACAATCTAAATTACATTAAAAACTGTACATTATGCACAAAACATTCACATATTACAAAAAATAAAATAAAAGTTCTTATTTACAAATTGGCTAGTAGATTCCCTGAACAACAAGTCCTATAGAGTTGTAAAGATTTTGTTTTCCTCTGAATGAACCAATGGTAACGTTTTTGTTCTAAAGGGACTGAGTAGTAAATGGCTGTTGGCAACTTTCTCTTTATTTTGAACATGGTACGGTTGCTTCTTTGTGCCAATGGTTGGTCAGAAGATGATTTTGGTTTTATATCAAATATTTCCATCACGTTGTACTTCTTGACAGTTTTGTTTTCTATAGGCTTGCCAAATCTCAACCTCCAGAGGGGCGGGCGTTTCTTCGGCTTGAGAAGGTACGTAGGTGGAATGTTGGTGTGCCGGAGCATTCGTAGTGGTGTAACGCTGTCTCCGAAAATCGTGTACAGTCGCTTGTCCATTGCCAGCAGTGTATTGAACTGTTCTGTATTTGTGCTGTTCTTACGATAAGAAGAATTCACCTAATTGTTTTTAGCGTTAATTAATAAAATAATTTGTACATATGATAATAATAGAATGAATTAACAAACTAACACTTTCATCAACCTGTATCCTTGGTTCTAACTTTTCATCCCTGTTCTGCATAATGTAGTCTCCTGAATTCGCGAATAACTTCCTGAATGCATTACTCAATGATATCTAAAATAAAAGTTAAATAATTTTTATAAAATTTTCATGTGTCTTTTTCACTAAAATGTTTGTATTATTGTTAGTTTATTACTAAGAGAAATGTATATATTTATATTTAATTAAATTTTTTATAATATATATTGTCACGAATAAGATTACAAGGAGGGGGTAACGAGCAAGCCGAGGCAGGAGTGCTCGACTGGATCTTGCCGTGACCCCATCTTTGAAAACCCTGTCCGTAAGTATAACATTTGTCCTAAGATTGAATTTGAACGGGACTTGTGTATTTATAGTTTAAATAAAAGGTGAAAGGAAATTTATTCAAAATTAGTGTTTATTTAGTTTCTTTGTTTTACTTATCACCCCCTTGCTTACTCTGACTAGTTTCAGAGGTGACAATATATAAATTTTAATTTGAAGACCACAATGGCCAAGTGGCTAGGGCATCTGACTTAAATTGCCATGCTGGAGGTTTTGGGTTCAAATCCCAGCAGAGTCATTGGCTTTTTAATTGATAATGTTATGAATTTTTTTTTAAACTTTTTAATTTTAAAGCAATTCAACTTTTATGAAGTGTGTATCATAGTTTCCAGGTGACATATTGCAGACATCAGCCTAAATGTGGGGAAAATAATTAAACCCTGGCCAAAAAAATATGATGAAATCAAGAATATAATTCTATTTTTGCAATAATTCAGGTACTTATAATTTGAATTAAATGTATTTAATTGTTATTTATATTTATTATTATTTTCTGAGTTAATTCAATTTTCAACATATAATTATGATTGTACAAATGAAAATGTTTATTATTATTTACCCCTATTAACTTCAATACTTAATCGATATAACTTTATATTGAATTAAAAGTTTTAAAAAATCAAATATAAAAGATAACTTTTTCATTTCTTTCACTAGGAACTTACTTACAAGAATTACTCCCATTATGTACTGTGAGTAGACCATTAACGAATCCCCTCGTTTTGCACTGGATTTTATTTCCAACTGTGGAAGGTAGCGTTCAATCACTGGCCAATAATAGAAATCCAGCGTTCTCTGCCTCAACGCAGTCAATGTGACAATTACACCTGAAACAACTCAGTGAGTTAATTTGTATTAACAGATGAGAAAGAAACCAATTACCGTATTGCGTTTGAAATGGGGCAGTGTTGTCCAGCAAGTGTTGAAGGAGGTGTCTCACAATGTCCATCTGTTGTTTCAGCTCAATGCTCCAAAGAATCATAACCTAAATAGTACATGAGATAATTAACTGTCTATAATAAAGATTTATTTATTAACACAAAAGTTAAGGCAGCAAAGCATTGGGTCTTGTGGTGACATTGCTACCTTACTATCTGTAAATCCACCTATTTATTAAAAAACACTATAGTTCAGTTTGAGGGTATGATGTATAATATATTTTATGTGATATGTACAAGATTATATTAATTATAATCTAGCATAATTTAATAGCCACTAACTCTAGAAATGACTTTTTTGCATGAGCACATTCAAAAGCGAAACCAAACAAGGAAATCTTGAAATATACAAACACCATATATTCAAAAGGAAAACACAAATCAGTGATTCCCTCACATCATTTACATAATTTAAAACATAAATCAAAAGGAAAAAGAGGAACAATCATAACTGAATAGAACAAATCAAATAACACTTGACATCCATGATGCCAATAGGTTAAAACAAAAATTACACTCCTTTCACTTTTCATGGCAAACATAAAAGGGACCTAAAAGCAAAAATGTGCCAAACAGCTAGGATAGAGATCAAACAGGATCAGAAAAATCAAGCTACATGTTCACCATCCCCCTGACCTCATGAAAAAATCGCACAATCAGAGCATACTTAGTTTATACGTGCCATATCAACAACAAGTCTATTCTAATTATTAGTTTAATCATTGGTTCGACTGTCATCACATTAATCTATTTCAATGGTTTTCAGCTTGGCAAGTGCTTTAACTCTTCACGCAACAGTGATTAGTGAAACTGTCCTCGAGTTTCATCCCTCCAGTTTCACAGTAATCAACTCTTCAGCACAACAATCACTGGTGCAACTGCCCTCGCCTCAACTCTATACTGCCAATTTGTTTTACAGTCCTTAGCAGGATCGTCCTTCGTATGATACCTTTAAAAACCTCTTGAATGTACTGCCTACTTTGTATTGCCTTCACAACTTGACAGTCCTCAGCCAGACAACTAACAACTCTACTCTTGCCTAGGGTTCTGTTTTTACCAATGAGTGAGGAAGGGTTTCCATGCTCTGAGCCAAAACTGTTCCCATATAAAATAATATATTTTTGACCTACTTCATACAATTTACCTACTTAATTAACCTACTTCATACATTTCAATTTTAATTATCAGGTAGATATTTTTTTATGTAGCTTTATGCAACCTGGTAAGCGTGCCAGTGTTCATATACCACTTCTTCCTGTTTCCAGTTGTATTACTGTATATTGAGATCCACATGTACTACAGTATGTTAGGGTCACAGATATGTTGCACCATCCGTAAATAAGAAATTGGACCCTTCGGAAAATATATTTGCATTCCATCGAGGCACCCTAATGGTTTGGAATGGGATAATTTCTGCCACATCCATGTAATTTAGTGATTAATAATATATGTATATTAATTAATGTTTGAAAATATAAAAAATAACACAAAATAATGAAATTTTGTTTTTACAATTGTCTTGAACATTCTATTTTAATTATAATAACAACAAATCAACATACAGCTTCCTTTCATCTTTTATAACTTCTACAATATTTAGATATTCATATTGATTATAAATATTCATGGAATTGACTTCCTCAGAGGTCATTTGAAATAAAATTATTCATTTATGAATTTTTTTAATAAACTGTTCTAATAAGAAATTCTATTTTTTTTAAATATGTAGTAGGTTTAATAATTAATTAAATAAGAATCAGGGTCAATGTGTGCACTGTTCACTGACACTACTGTAGTTTTAGTTTATTTAAACATTTTCTACCTTATTAATGAACCAGAGTTATATTAAATATTTTATTTATTGTAAAGTTAAAATATAAATACCTTAGATAATAGAAGTCCTGCCCTCAACCTGATACCCAAATCATCACAATTACTGCTTTCAATATTTTTCTCAATAACTATTTTAAGTAAAGAATTCACAGCTCTGTTCACCTAAAAATGAAAATTCCAATTACACATTTAACAAATGCAATTTTCCTAAGGGGATTAAACAATACAAAAAAAATTGCATACAGCCAAAAATGGACTTGGATCAACAAATCGGTTTTCAGCAATGCAGCTGACGGTGTCTATCATAGTCGTTGTTATCAGGCCGTGTTGTGGTCCTTTTTTAACGGTGAGCGCTACGAGATTGAGAAAATATGGACAATACGGGCCGATTTTAGGGTTTGACTTCAGGTCCAGAAGTGCAACCTAGAATTGCAATTTTTGTTTTTTTTAGTTTTTGAAAGAGAAACAAGAGAAAATTTTCGCAATTACCCTTTTATGCGCTAAACTACCAAGCATAAGGGTTTTGCATATTTGTACATAGTAAGAGCTTTCTTCATGGCCTGCGTTGTTCCCATTGTCCGTGCTCTCCTCAGGCATGACCCAAGCACCTTAAAAACAAACAAAAATCATCTTATTTTAACTTAGAAAAATAATCATATATGGACATGGTGTTGATTTATTGAAAAAAAAAAAAAAATTAAATGATGAATGAATTTCATTTTATTATTTGAATGATTTTATAAATCATAAATAGAATTGATCTTCAAAAGATATTTCTATCATCAATCTCCAAAACTAATATATTTTTAAACTACATGTTAGTAGCAAATAAAAATTTATGGAAAGCAAAAATACATTTCTCCCCATAAGGAGCAAAATGGGGAAATATAATAAATACAAACCCCAATAGTTTCAGTCTTGTCGTACCTTTGAATTTTGTAATTTGTAAAAAGAATTTATATTAAAAACTTTAATAGACAATAATAAATCTTATTAATATAACTATTATAACCATAATATCAATTGTATATGAATACGAACAAGTTTCCTAATTAATTCTTTAATATACAAGCAATAATTGTTAGAATTTTTGTACATTCCAGGAATGTAGGTATGTAATTTTTTTTTTCAACACACCAGATTAAACCTTATCCCTTCTCAAACAAAAAAAAGAGGGATTTGCACACTGTAGCTTGAAGAATAGACATTATTGTTTCGATATTTTCTAAAAGGCAATTTGGGCTGGATTTTGGTATTCTTTGATGAGGACAGTGATTTGCAGTTTTTGAAAGAAAAGAGCTGTATGTGTTCTTCAATTTTTTTTCCAGTAATGCAATAAACCGGTTTTACTTTTATCAAGATGGATATTAATTTGTTTAAAAAAATGACACATATAATCAACTATTTTGTATTTATATTAATAATTAAGACTATAATGACTTAAATATTCTTTTTAAGAAACAGACAAAAAACTTTTTTATTTTTCTAAAAACATGAAGTTGCTTTGTTATTAAGTAAGTCAAATAATTGAATTTTTTGTAAAATCCTTTTTTTATTAGAACTATAAATTATTCCCATAAAAATATTATTTTAAAAATGTACCTATTAATAAATAAAATTAAAATAAATAAGGATTCTTCAAAATTATTTTTAAGAAACAAATTTTCTTTTATAACATGAGAAGTTACTTTTTCGTTATGCTTTTTTGTAAAGTAAGTAAAATAATTAAAATTTTTGTCAAAATCCTTTTTTTTCTTTTTTTTCCAAAGCCGTATAAATCATTCTAGTTAAAAATAAATTAATTTCAAAAATTAAACTATTAATAAATAAAATAAAAATTAATCAAAAAGAGTTCATTACAAAAATTATGGTTGCAGAGCATGTACCATCTCTTTACTTAAAAGTAACACAATTTATATTTATTGTAAACAACTGTAGAGTTTCTTTTTCTTAAAACTCAATTTTTTTAATGTAAAAAGTGAAGACATTTTTTAAAATTATAATGCCCAATTCAATAGAATCAGGAACTTTTCAAAACCAAGATGAAAATAACGAAGATCAGACTTTACCACAGACAGTTATAAATCAGCAAAAATCAGAAGCAACTTAAGCATTATCTCTGCATTAGACATATCTCAACCTTCCCAAACCATCCCCTAACCAAAAAAAATTGGTTGTTTTCAAGAAACGAAAAAAAAGTTCTAAACACAAGAAATTACTATTTCAGTTTTGCTTTTTTGTAAAGTAAATCAAATTTGTTGTTAGAGTCAAATCATGACAGTTAAAAATAGATAAATAAATAATTAATTTAAAAAAATTAAACAATTAATAAATAAAAAATAATAAAATAGTACATTACAGGTTCACAACTGTATGTCATTATATGCATATTAGGTATCAATAAATAAATCGGTTGAAGTAGTTTGTTATTATTATGTGTCTGAATCAATCAACAAGATTGATTGCAGTTCTGGGTTCGAATTCCAGCAGAGTCCATGACTTTTTAATCGATAATGGTATTAAAATATATTGTAAAGTAGTCCCACCCCTCATCCATGATACCCGATGGATAGATGTTACGCCCTCCGGTATGACAGGAATTACTTTACTTATTTTTCTTGTTTTCTAAATCTACTTTTATATATTTATTACTGCACACTGAGTTAGTCAAAAACCCAGGGTTTAAAAAACAACAGAATAGGCAGACAAGGATGATCAGAGACTATCAAAATTTTACTAACTTGCATAAGGCTGCTCGTCATTGGAACCGAACTAGGACGGCCGTTCAACAGCCGAACTATATGACCAAACAGACGACCGGCAATGTGACTGAACGCTGTCGTCCACTGTAGCCGATTTTCGTCAGTTCACGACATAGTGCAAATGGATGTAGCAGACTTGTTTCTGCTCGAAATTCTTAGTTTACATACAAATGGAGGGAAAGAAATAAACAAAAATATTGGAAGTTCCATTTATAAAGCTATCCTTGACCACAGCTTACTCTGGACATCCCTCCAACGATAGAGCGGATCACGCATGTTCCAAAGAGTCTGGTTCTCCTCAACAGCACTTGTCAATTTTTCGCAATCCATCTAAATGAAAACGTAAACAAAAAGTAAAGAACGCCATTAAACAATGGTGAGCGTTTGATGTCACGTGGCTGACAGCTGAATTCGAAGTAACAATTCGGCTGAATAGGACGGGAAAATCCAACTTTATTTGGATCAGAAAGTGCTTCGGCTGTGCACAGCCCAACACGACCGAACGAACTGGTTGTAATAGACGCGTGCTCATTCGTTTCTTCGCTTTTTGATCATCCGGCCCTATTCGGCCAAGCAAGTTCTGCCGAAAACGGTTCCAGTGGACGGCCTACCTAAAAACCTTTCACAATAAAGATGTTCCAATTAATTATTAAATCTGTGATCAATGAGAAAAGCCTTTTTTTTCTTTTGTTTTTTTAGAAAAACTGATCAAATTGAAACATTGGCCAATTAGTTCAAAACAAATAACTTCATGATCACCCACGATGATGACAACTATGCTACAAGTCTTATAACTAGAATAGCTGGAGTTTTGTTAACATTTACAACCAGCAGTATAATTCCACAAACAGTACAATCCACTTTGTTTTATCAAGTCATATAATACAATGTCTATTACTTGGTCTTACATAATTATGAAAATAAAAAGATTGAATAAAAACGTACCCTGGATATAAGGCTCTCCTCTATGAAAGGCTCTAAACTGTTGTAGGGATTCCTCATAAACATCAATTTCCTCATCATTTTCTACAAAGACGTTCTTTTTAGTGTCTAATGTGTATGATGTCTCTCCTGCATTATGATGCCCATAGAGTTGAACACCGCCTAAAAGTTTTATCGCCTTGTCGACATCATGTGTAGTTAACATGTCCCTTTTGTTCTGATGAAGTATAATCTTTGCAACCTGAAAATCATAACGATCACCAATGGCTGTCGGTTTTGGCCAGGGGATGGAAGCGACTTACGAACATAAGCTCCCTCGTCTTGCAGAACAACTCGTTGGATATGAGATCGCATACTTCCTCGCTGAGGGAAGGTATGCCGATCCTGGAGCCTGTTAGGTAGACGCTACGCTTGCAGAACATCTTGAGTTCGTGATCTACCGTCTGGGACTTCTTCTTTCTAGGCTTCTTGGTGACCGGGGGACCTTCCTGGGAGGTCGACTGGGTGGAGCTCGTATCAGGCTCCACCTGCTCGGCGATCTCCATGGGCTGTGGACCCACGTCCATCAACCGCTGCAGAATATAAAATCAAGAGAGAGTATTTTTGGTATTTCCGGCAAAATTTTGTCGGCGCACTTTGGGTCGTGGCGTCTAAACGGAGATCGTCCGAGAAAAGTCGTATTTTGTAATTTTGATTTCCGTTCCTACCTAATCATACCGAGGATTCATCGACCCGACTACCATCCGACCCTAACCTGGCCAATCATAACCTTTATCTCTTTTGATTACAACAACTAAGTAACCTAATGAGCAAAACTACTCTACCACACAAGGCAATCAAATTTCTTATAAAAGAAAAACTTAAAATTTTTAATAACAAAATATTATAACAATTATAAATTATGTAAGTGAAAGCAATAGGAGATTTTGATTTCTAATATAAGAAAATTTTAACTACAACTATTATTGTATTTGTCAACCTGATCCTACAATAAACAAAAATATCAAAGCAATTACAAATTATATGCATATAATTGAAATTAATTTAATAAGGGACAAATCTGTCACTTGACTTTTTAATATCTACCAATGCCAACTACAACTAGTATTTCATTTTTCAACTAACAGTTTAGAAGTTGTTAATTGATGGTATAATAAGCAATAATATAATAATAATAATTAATAATTATGTACATATAAACAAGAAGGGTCAAATTTGTCACATTTGGCAATTTCAACAATTATTCCATTTTTCAACTAGCTGTTTTTGAAACTGTTTATCTACCTAAAAATCTGTTCTAAATTTGGAATAAAAAAGAAGAGAAAAATTGTCCACTTCCTATTTCTTAATATCTGTGTGCATATTTCGACAATTTTCCATTTATCAATTAATTGTTTTGTGAAAAACTGTTTATCTGTCAGTTATCAAAACTGCCATAGTAATTACTAAGAATGTAAATAAAAATTGAAATTAACAACCAAAAGGGGCAAATCTATCACTTTTATGAAGTTCACAATTTATTCAATTTCTCAACTAATTGTTTTGTTAAAAACTCTTTATTTACCTACTATTCATCAAAAGTGTCATAACAATTACATATATAAAAATCTGTCACCTTTGACTATTTCAACAGGCATTCCATTTTTGAACTAATTGTTTTGTTAAAAACTGTTTATTTATTTATTATTCATCTAAAATGTCATAGCAATTATAAGTTATATGCATAAAAGTTGAAATTAACTTAAAGAAAAAGAAGCAAATCTGTCACTTTTGACAATTTCAACAGGCATTCCATTTTTGAACTAATTGTTTTGTTAAAAACTGTTTGTTTATCTACTATTTATCAAACGTGTTATTAATTAAACATATAAAAATTTGGAATTATAAATCTTTCCCTTATGATTTCTTAATATCTACAAATATCAACTATTTTCTGCTACAGATTAACTAATAATTAATAATCCAAATATAATAGCAATAATCAATTATATCTTTACAACTTTAATTTTAAAAAATGTATATTTGCGACTTCTGACTGCAATTTAAAAAAAATCATTTGAAAACGGACGAAGGTAGAGAAAAATGGGAATGCACCAGATTATTTTTGTGATATTAAGAATATTTAAAGTGCAAATACAATTTTTTGTCACTTTGATTTAATAAGCAACCTTAAGTTTTTAAATGTGGATAATTGCTTTTCAACTTTTGTTTTCAAGAATCAAGCCGATTAAGCTAGCTTTAGGATTTTTAAATCTGTATAACTGGTAACAGGGATTGTTTAAATTGATCAAAAGTCTGTTTTACTTTTAAATAAAGAGATCGTTGAGTAATATAATGTAACCTCACCGTTGAGGTTGAGGTACCATCTTCTGCAAGACAAGGTTATGCCTTTCTTATCTTGTAATCTTGGTACAGGTGTACAAAAAATAAAAATCACAGTTGTCGAATGATCGGCGGATGAAGACAAGCCGGTACAAAAGGAGGCTGGCGGCGATCTCATTCCTAAGCAGCATCTCGCTGGATGGAACTCCGAGGACGATCGCCGCCTTCCTGGCCAAGCCGCAGGAGGAGGAGGTTCGTTACGAGGACAATTTGGACGCTTCGCCTTTGATAGAGAACAACCAAAACGGGCTTAAATCCTGTAAAAGCGTCTCACCGACGGTCAAGTACAACCAGGACAGCTATCTCAACTCTTACAATGAGAGTCACATCCTCATGTCCAAGTTCCTCGAATCGGAAGGGCAGACCAACTTCTTTGCTTTACCGTTTCGAGAAAGGTAGTTCAAACCCGGTTTAATCGGTTGTTTTATTGTTAAGAATGTTTCGTTTTAGGACTAGCACGATTGGAAGCGAATACGGAAGTGAGATACACTACAGCGGGATACACTATAGGAAACGCCTTCTGCAGCAAATCCCGGACGACAAACTGCAAGGGATTTTCAGCAGCTCTGAAAGCATGGTTTCTGCTGGGGGTAGGAGTTTATCATACGTGATAAAATTAATATGGAAAGGCGTAAAATTCCAGTTTAATTAAATTTCAGGCAAACCGAAGGAGGTCTCGTTCTTGAAGGTCACTAAAGGTCATAAGTTCAAGGGGCAGCGTTTGGTTATTGTGTCGCCTTCCCTGAAGATCCCTATTGCCATTTTCTCTGTCGTTCCTTACCACCGTTTTCGGTAGGTATATTAAACAAAAAGTGTAATTTTTTCTTCTAATGAAAGTTTAATTTTCATCCAGGGGTGACATAAAGAATCAACTGGGAGTGAGAAGACGTAACACATCCGGGCCAAGACCCCTCTCTGCAATTAATGACGCTGCGGACCCATGGGCTCTTTTGGGCATAGAAAAAGCTTCTGATGGACAAGTAAGTTTGGAAGTTCAAATTTCAAGTTTAACGGCATTAAAAAAAATCTAGTCATGGTCAGCCTCTCAGACAGATATAAACCACACGGTCATGGGTTCAATTCCCTACCTCAACCTTGCCCATTAAGTTTTTTTATGACTCATCTATGACATCTATTAAGTAGATAGATGTTGAGCCATCTTGCTTGAAGGAATATTAATTTAAAAAATATATACAGATAAAATATACAAGATTTATTAAAATCAAACTCTACTAATGGAATAGGGCAAGATGTGCTAACTACGTACTTGGGAGTTACAGACAGATGAGGTTATATCTTGAACTTGTCCTTCATTAGGCAGCATAGACTGGCAAACCTATGTATTATAGGGGCAATAAAAACAATCCCATGAAATACATTAGAAACACTGCTACACTTATTAGCAAACCTACATTGGAAGTATTTATACAAAGAGAAGCAAGGAGAAGATCATTTAGGCACCAAAAATAAATTTGGATGGGGATTAAATATTACAGGCACACAATAATAATTAATAAAATCAGACACCCAATCATAAAAATGGGAACTGACTACATGATCCCAGAAACATGTACAACATACTGTAAAGTCTCAACAGACTACAAAGGAGAAAAATTCAGATACTATGATAGGTATATAGATTAGCTTTAAAACAAATTAAGGGGATCAGGCATTTTTTGTACAAGCATAGAATTTGAGCAATCGAACTTATTAGGAAAGTACACTTCAGTCTTTCAAGCTAAAATATATAACATCAATGCGTGTGGCTTTGAAAATTTTAGCAGAGATTATACTGACCAAAACAATCCTCATAAAATCAGAGGGGCCAAGCAGACATTAACACATTAACATGTAAAAAAATCAAATTAGGTAAAGGAATTGTTGCAACGATGTCAATGACTTTTTAAGAGAAAGATCGAGTCATTTGAACTGAACTAAAAAACTAGGAAAGGTACAATAACTCAGAAGGATGCAGTGCTCGGGGACATAAAAACTCCACTTCCTAGATTTTCATCATCATCAATATAAAGGCTTTTTGTATTATATTTAATACACGTATACACAATTATATATTATTTTCTTTACACATTCTAATTAATCAGGGGTCTAATATATTTGTATTTTTGTGTAAATAGGAAATTTCTTATGGACAACTGTTAGCCCCATCTAAACATATAAGAAATTTGGAAGCTGGGGACATAAAAATTCACCATCCTTTAGCAAGGTTTGTCTTTGCATACAAATGTCATTTTTATCATATTTGTAACTATTATTTATAATTATTTTAGATGTTACTCAAATGATTCTTCAGCACTTAGACTCTTTCCGGGCTCACCACCTGTCTGTAGTGATAAGTCATCACAAGGAGGTGAGTTAGAATTAATTTACTGATTAAAAGGTTTGGAAAAAATCAATTGTAGGTGTTTTTATAAAGATTCTGGGACGAGGAAATAATTTTCAAGTCCTTTTGATTTTGTTTTGAAAGGCTGATATTGGCAAAGCTCCTAGCCGTACTTTTAAAAATTTGTTTTCAGGTCTCGATGTTTCAGAATATGAACCCAATGTTTTGGACGATCCAGAATTAATTGCTGGAAAGCATAAAAGGCTTTTACCATTTTCTTCTTATACGGTTTGTAGAGTCCCATAGAATTTTTCCTGTTTTTTGTTTTTGTTTGATAACATTGATAAAAAATATAATCATTAAAATGTTCAGCGAGATGGTTATCACCTAATGTGTTTCTTTTCAGACTTCAGTGATTCTTTATGTGAGGGCTGCTGATTTGAAGAAAGAGCTCAACGATAAGTTCAAAGAAAAATTTCCACACATAGGTCTCACGCTCAGCAAACTTAGGAGCCTGAAGAGGGAAATGCGGAAAATCGCCTCGCCGGACTTCCTCACAATAGCCTATTCCTATGTTTATTTTGAAAAGCTTATTTTTAAAAATTTAATCAACAAACAAAATAGGAAGCTCTGTGCTGGTGCTTCTTTAATACTGGCTGCCAAACTCAATGATTCAAAAGGAGATTGTTTAAAACAGTTAATTGAGGTATGTTTACAAAAATTTTAAATTTAATTGAACTAATGTTTTTTGGAAGTGTATCTAATCAATTAATCGAATAGAAAACTGAAGCCGTCCTCCGTCTAAATAAAAGGGACCTTTTGTCATCAGAGTTCGCTGTTTTAGTTGCACTCGACTTTGGTCTGCATGTGCCTACTTATCAAGTTCTACCTCACTACCACAGACTACTCTCTGAAACATAGTGTTTGAACTGAAATTTTATCTATTAAAAAAATTATAATTGTTTAAAAAGAAATTACCATTCGATGTGTTTCATATAAGAATTTCATCCTGTATGAGATCATCATAATGTTACCAACTTTAAAATTATTGTGATATTTTAGATGGTAATTTAAAGATATTTGTATTAAAAATAAAAATTTGTTAACAAGGGGGTTGGGAATCAGATACATTATTTAAACAAAAGAAATCATATTTTTTTGGTTTGATTTATGAATTTACATATTTTATTTGTTTGATATAAAAAAATCTTTCATTCTCTCTTATATTTTTAATAGTAAAAAAATATTATATGACTGAATAAATATAATTTAAGTTTATAAAAATGCACAATGACATAACCACAGGAAAAATGTTTATCTATAGGAAGTTTATGAAATAATTATTCAATCTGTAAAAGTGAATATGTGCAGCACAATATTTTAGACATCATTGACTTAAACAAAACCATTTGTTTTGGAAATAACACTGCAATAAGATAATAATAACTTAATTATGTTTTGTTTGTTTTGTGACTATATATTATTAAACTGTACTTTTGAAATCATGGACCAATGCTGAAAACCATTCCATTGATGAGTAAAGTTACAGGAAAAATAATTTCTTAATTAAGTTTACACTTGTGAATTATTTACAATATGTTATTTTACTGTTTTAAATAATGTATTAATGAAATTAGCAATATAAGACATTTTGATAGATATTTGTATATAATAAAGAATAGTTCCTCTGTTGTAAAGCAATAAAAATGGTGATTCAATGTACAAATTTGTTTTTAATTGTTAAAAAAGTGCTTTGTGGTTTTCTTAAATAACAACTAGTATGTATTCGTTTATTACATTGAAGTACCTGAACTCAATGGTAAAATGTTCTGTTAGTCAACATTTGTTTTTATTTTCTTGTTTTGTAAAAAACAAAACACAATAAATATTTTTGCCTATTTGTTATTTCAAACCTAGTCTTTGTTTACAAATTAATCCATGATTTAATCATTCTTATGAATTGAAAATAAGAAAGAGAAAGGAAAAGTAAAAAACTTAGTCACTTTTTTGAAATTTAGTCTCTTAAAATTTATTGATTCTAAATGTCATGGGAGTAAGCCAGTTATTAAATTTCTAATATAATAATTATATTAGAAATTTAATTTATTTTTATTTATTTAAAAACTCTAATATAATAACAAATATAAAACCAATGTTTTTTTTTTCTTTATGGCCTGGTTTTATCGATTTGATATTAGCCAAAATACAAATTTTTGTTGTAAGTCATCATTTCATTGCCTTAACTTGATTTCATTGACCTACCCAACCAGCGGCTTGCAGCTTTGCTCATGCTGCCACCGAGCTCTGGGCAGAAACCATGCACTCATCCTACTTAAGAGGTGAAGTCGTCTTTCTTATTACAGATGTATTAGGGGATATTGAAAAAATTACATAGCTTAAAGTGCTATGAAAAAGTCCACATCATCCCACTATCCAGGGCTCCCAGACAGTTCCTCACTGAAGATGGCAATTTGCAGTCGGACCCCAATAAGTAACCCAGTGGCAGAATATCAAAAATTATTATATTGATATCAAAATATCAAATTTTTGCCAGCTAAACTTTACTAAACGCAATAAATTAATTAAATATCGTTTTTGTTTGTGTTTTGGTTATGTACTGTCTTCCAATGTCTGGATGATGGTGTTTTTAAAATTAAAACTTAAAAGCACACAGCTCAATCAAATTTTTTGCAAGTTTTATCACCAAATAGAAAAACAATTTATCTGAGATTTTTTTGTGTTCACTCTTTTACAAAAATCACTCCATTGGATATTATTTCATCCTTGACTTAAAAAGAAAATAAATGAGGCACAATTAACAACAGGGGAGGATATGAAAAAATTCTGAACTGATTTGGACGTGAATTAATTATATGCTATAAATGATTGTAAGAAAGATGGCTCCCAATATTGAAAAATCGTTGATATTTATTTTTAAATTTTCTAATTACTTCTTGTCATAGATGGACCTAGGGTTGTTTAATTTTAACTTTAAAAAATCAGACAAAAATTTAATCGACTCCATCGTTCGAGGAACTGGAAATAGACGGGCGTGGTGGTGCCCGCAGGCAGTGCCAAGGCCAAGTCGGCGTCTTCCGCAGGGGAATCTGTACACGGGAAGAGCACTTCCAGGAAATCGACGGCGCCCTCGGGATTTGACGGCAGTCCTCGGTCCCAGACAGAGTGGAAAATCGATTATCCGAATCCAATGGTAGATTTGTACAAGGCTGAACGCGATAAACAATATACCAATTGTTAATTACCTGCTTGTTAACTCGAAGGTACGGCGAGGACAAGCGGACCAGGATGGTCAAAGGACCACCAATCTGTATATTGGAACGAGTTCAATGACACTGACCAACTGACTACAAAGTAAATCTTGCTCAAATTAGCAAATCAATCAATACATTTGACATACAATTGACTAATTCACCCAATTTTCACAAAAGGTCTTAATAATAAAATGTAGAACATTTTTCTCGCAGTTCTTTCTGTTTCTATGTAGACATTTGCAGTTGGTTTCGAGCAATAATTGCATTCAACTCAATAAGTTCGATAATCAAGTAAAAAAACCACTAGTTTTTCTTAACAAAATGGTGACTATCCCTGTTAGCTCACGGACTCCGAAACATTACAGACTGAGGTAGGTTTTGGTAGATCCTTTAAGTCATATCGAATAGCATAAATTTAGTAAAAAGTTCCTGCACAAAATGCAGTTAGTTTCTAGCAGTAGTAATTCATATAGAAAGATTGCAAACAGACCTTTTTATCCTCATGAAGGGAAGATATGGACGTGGAATCATCGATTTTAATGACTTTTTTGGTGATGCTAGGTCGAAAAATATTAGACACATGTACCAGCGATTTTGCCAATGGGCACCATGAACCAAGAAAAAATATTACAATTAGATAAGAAAATTATAAGCAAGATTGTATTCAATGTCGGCAGAGATCCCCGGGATGCCGGTGTTTTTGTAAAAATCCCATTTACAATGTCGGGCTCGAACCAGAGGCGCTGGATTCGAACCCGAGACCTTTACGCATACAGTGATGAGCGTCCTGTCAACGCCTTAAACGTTGCGGCCACCGGCGTTCCATTAAAAATCAATAACTCCTGTGGATTTTATCCATACTTAACGTTATTACATCCGTTGGATAGATAGATTATCTTCAACTCTATGTCAACGTTTAAACGATGTCTTTGTAAATGAAATAAACGAGAATGAAACCAACAAAAACACCTCAAACGTTTTAGTTTACATCTCCTCTAATTTATTTTGGAGTGTAGACTCATCCAAAAAGTTTAGTCCAAATCCGTGTCACCAACCTGGTCATCCCCTTGCCAGTATTAAAGAGGTCGAAAAGGGTGGTGCGTTAATTCTGTTCATCAGTTTTTTTTTCTCGGCTCCTCGCTCGGACACATGTGTAACTATTTCGACCTAATATCACCAAAATGGGTTTCGTTAAAATCTGTGACCCCAAGTCCGTAGCTTCTTGTCAGTTGTATTACAGCTATTTGGGTTGTATAAGCTCGAGAGTTGATCCACGAATCAAAAGCGGTATCGAGAATCTCGTACATGTGACACAACTCTGTTGTAAAGTTGAGTAAGGGCGAGTGCAGGTCGGTGCAGGTTTGCATCATTGCGAAGTTTGAGACATTCGACCTTGCTCCAATGATCTTAGACTTGGAGAACGAGGCCGACGTTCCTCCGCCACCACCCACGACCGCGGTTCCTCCGAAACGATTTACATGTCATATTGCCCCCAATCGATTGTCCGATTCTTACGACTCGGCTTACAATGCCAGCCACTTCAGGAAATTTCAATTTAAGCCAAGGTTCGACTGCCAGCAAGGGATACGTACGAAAAACTTAATTAGCTTCTGTTAAACTTTTATGAAAACACTAGCTGTCACCTCAGCTTCGCTCGGGTAGTATGAATTTGGATAATTAATAGCAAATTTGTTATTTGTTTATAAACTTTATTAATTGATTTAGTTCTTGCGAAACCGATGTACAAGATGTCGGTGTGAGAAACATTCTTCCAACAAATAACCCCACACATTTATACCTTTGTCCTTAATCGTTATAGGGAGAGATAGTTTTAGATGTACTTATTTTTAGCTTCCATCTAGTGCGAAAACACTTAACTCTTTCGAGCTCCGTATAATATTTTTTTAAATCACAATCCTCCAGGATATAATCAGGATATCATATCATCATCGCGCAATATCATCAGCGTATAGTGCCAGTTGACGGCATTTAGCTTTAGGAAGGTCATGTAAAATACAAAAAGTGTCAGATCGAGAATTGATCCTTGAGGGACGCAGGATTTAATAGTGAAATGCGAAGACAGGGAGTTACGAAGGGCGACACTTAACGACCTCAATTTTAGATAAGAATGCACAGTCTTGATTACATACTTTGGAAAATTAACTCAATCATTCTGTAAATAATTCCATCATGCCATACTGTGTCGAAGACTTTTTCCATATCAAGGAGAACTAGACCCGTGTAATAAAAATGATAAATGGTGAACGAGCATATTGTTTAATCTTTTTAAAAAGTCCGCTTGACCAATTAATATCTTTCAATTAATTAAGGTTTTTAGTTGAGATAAAAAAGTCAGTGTCACGAGCGGGATTCGAACCCACGATCTTCGGCTAGATACAATACTTCCTACAACAATTAGAGCGTTGTTTAGTTTGACAGTGTCCTCAATTTTTCTTTTATGATTACTACCAGGTCAACTGCGTAACCTATGGTATGATGTCCTAAGTTGTTAAGCAATTTAATTAGATCATCACCTACTATCAACCAAAGAATCTCCATTGTACCTCTCCTTAGAGGAATCTTGGATAGGTTCTATTCGACACGCAAGGATGGCACAAGTACACAGAAGACAAACACTTTGAGCCCTGAAGATGATCTCAATAAAAGATCGAAACGTTGGCACGATAAAGAAAATGTTTTTCTGAAAACTACATCACACCCGACCGCATCTCACTTTATCTGAATTTCTATTCGTATTGCTAATATCCAGTTGTTGTGTCGGGGGGGGGGGAGGTCTCTACCTTTTCTTTGCACTGCCTTTTCCATGGCTTTGTACGAGGTGTTATCAAAAGCTCTCCCCATGTCCATGAAGCTAGCAGAGTGCTAGGTCTTTTTTTTCCAACGATTAGTTTATATGCTCTAATTAATTTATTTAGGGCTATGGATCTATGGATTTTCCCTTTTTGGTATACATGGTGTCCATGGAGGAGATCACCTTTAATTTCTTGGCCTACAATTTTCTCCATTGCCTTTTGGATAAAAGTAGTTAGACCTGTGGGTTGTACTGCGTTTGCCGAATCTGAGGCGCGACCCTCTCCTTTCGGTATGAAAACAATCCTTGTTTGTAATATTATGGCTTAATATGACTTCTTGTATGTAATAACATTGGGAAAATGTTATCCCCTCCAAACCGAAACCACTTACCATTTTAATTATTTTTAGTCCAATGAACTAGTATATAACTTTCTGTGGATTTGAAGTTTATCAGTTTAAAAATCTATTAATTTTTACTTTTTATTAGTCATATTTTGACCTACAGTATCTCAGCATCTTTCTGCTCAAATTGTACATATTCTTACACTGTTCATATTTATTTTTATTTTTCCATTTTATTCGAGATGTACGCTTGCAGTGTTGTTATTCATTAAAGCAGATCAGTATAACAATTAATTACTCATTCAACAAAACAGACTAGATGTTTATGTAATTGTTCAAAGCATTCCTTTTCTCATGGGTACCCTATTAGTTTAATTATTACCTAGAACTTCCACAACTGCACATTAAGCCCGGTGTCTAATTGTGTCAAGCTTCATAATCATAACAAACAGGTTGGAGGGATGATGAAAGGCGTATCTGCGGA